AGTACGTCCAACAACAAACCAGTCTTTGGATTGATTTATCATCGACAAAGCAAATCTTTATAATTATCACATATTTATCATTACAAGTGTGTATGCAATTCTGTCAAATATTAATCTTCCTTTGGGCCGACTAATACTTACATGAATATACACAAACACTAACATTCAATATTTTTCATGAATTGCCCAATTCAAGAGATGTTACTTTGGTGACTTCTTGACTCAATTTGCTAACAAAAAAATATTAAACTACAAAAAATTGAATATTTCATTTATATATCAGCGACATCCACCAGCGTGAACCATCGTTGATAGAGGACGCTGCAAGAAGGTATTCGAACCCAAATCCGAACTTGGCTCGGTACCTTGGGAAGAGATACCAACCTTAAGAAAACAAGGTCATCCTTAGCAGAATAAAAAGCTCTCTAGAATTCATAAATTACCAATTATAACTGAAGGTTTTGGTTCAGATACACGACATGTCGTTTAAGGATTTAGAACCTGAAGCTTAAAAGGCTACTGTGTGTGAACTGAGGATAACAACCAACATAATTCAAAAGATAATCACCTCCTTAGAATCCCACTAGGGATAAACATCTCCTCTGAACAAATCAAAGGATGAAAAACACCTCCTTTATCACTAACACATAAAGGATGAACACCTCCCTAGAATCACACTAGGGATGAAACATAGATAGTTCTGACCCTCTTTAACACACTGCTCAAGAAATAGTGCAACCACCTAAAACCTAAAAGGGGATTTAACAGTAATCACTTAAACCCTAAACAGGGAATTTAACATCAACTTCCCTTAAACCCCAGATAATAAAGGCAATAAAATAAGAACAACCACACTTGTGAAAACATTCACCAATTGCCTAAGATCCTATGTGTTAGGAACTCCCTAAACATCACCCCCAATTCCAAACCCATCCATATTCACCATGAAAAGAAAGCGAAAACAAAACAAAAGATTCAAAGAGAACAAAGAACTCAATACAAGAAAGATTGAAACTTGAAACACTATTTCTTTCTCAGTAAAACTTGAAACTTAAACTAAAACAAAAGGAAAAAACGAAGAAGAAGAAGAAGAATTCATAGCTTCCTCCATGGTTCCATCAGCGAGCAGAAGCAGATTGGGAATGTTACCCCCAAATTTAAATTTTAGGGTTCACGAAAATTGGAGATTATTCTTCACTTAGGGTTCATAAAATTAGGTAATTTGAATGGTTTAAAATAAAATTAAACCTAATTTTCATAATTAGGGTTCTATAAATTAAACAGACATGAATCAAGTATGAGTAGCTCTGATACTACTTGTTGAAAAATTAATAATAATTATAATATTGATTTTGATTCTAACTATCAAACATAAACATTATCCCATACTCATAAACATGCTGTAAACTGAATGCGCAAACGTATATGAATTAGCCATAATGATAATATCCTTGTAGAGCACTATTGATCTTATGATATTCCACCTGAAGAGCACATGTATTTCCCTTTAGATTTTCTCTCTTGATGGGGATAAAAAGAAAGGAACGGAACTGAGACTTACGTTCTGTGTGTGCTCCCAAAAGGGGACCATGACCCTTTAAATAACTAGAATTAGGTTAATTACTTAAGTTTTAGTATTTCCAATTTGGCCCCTCATCAACTTAGAAATTACTCTATGATCTTTACACAATTTTATTTTCATGACATATGCCTTTAGCCAAAGTTTTTTAATTTAGTCAGATCACTTTATTATTTGACTTAATAAATAATGGTCCTAACACATTTAAATTATGTATAATATATATACATGACCCAATATTTATCAATAATTTATTCAACACATAAGTGATTGTTGACACAACTTCTCCCCACAAGAAATTAGACACATTCTTGCTTTTTAAGATACACCTTACCATGTTTAGGAGAATTATGTTTCTCTTTTCTGTAGTGTCATTATGTTGTGGCCTGTACGGAGGAGTTGTTTCATGAATTATACCTGTTTCTTCACAGAATTTATTGAACTCAGTAGAATTGTATTCCCCACGTCCATCAATTCTTAACACCTTCAACTGTTATCCATATTGTTTCTCAGCCAGTGTTTTAAATTGAATGATGACAATAAATGCCTCACTTTTCCTCCTCATACAATAGGTCCATATTTTCCTTGTTAAATAAATCATTAATGAAAATAATGAAATGTATATTTCCCATGGTGTTTCAATCTGAGTGCACTACGTCTAATTTCTTTGTTGCCTTCTGAGGTAGAAATTTGTTGAACTCGTTCCTAATTTGTTTGTACTGTGCACACTCTTTACATATCTCTTTTAGAATGCATTCCAAAAACCATCTTCCTTTGGCTCAAATCTCCAAAACCTAGATGTTCAAACTTGAGATGCCACAACCACTCACTCCTATTTGTAGCAGTAAAACAATGATGTTTAAGTGCATGCATGTTGACTTGGAACATCCTATTTGAGGACAAATTGACGTGTATAATTAGTTTCTTGGTTTGATCATACACATTCAACGAATTTTCTTCCATAGTCATCCTGAAACCTTTATGCAACAACTAGCCTAAGCTCAATTAATTTGTTTTCAGCCTAGGTACATTTAGAACATCTTCCACTATTACCTCCTTGCGATCAAAATTCTTCAACACCATTCGCCCATTTCCTTCAGCAGTAAAGCAACTATCACTTGCAAACCTGATTCTATCTTGATTTACTTCATTCAGTTGAACAAACCACTTCTTCCTCCATGTCATATGTGTTGAACAACCTGAATCTAAGTACCAAGAGATGTTATCCTCTATACCAACATTGGCCTGAGCCATCAACATGATAACTTCTGAGTTAGATGTTTCTTCTTACGTCAGATGAGCTTGTGATTGCCTTTTTGGGTTTGGGTTGAGAGTGGTATCAATCCATTATGTAGGTTGATCTCATGTCTTATTGGTGTGTTTCTTCCTTGTGAATCCTCCCTCGAAAGACCTAACAAGTGGTATTAGAGCCGAAGATTTATCGGCAGTGAGTCCGAGTGATTTTTGTATCAAAAGTCTTTCTGACAGAGTAAGTCAAGTAAGTGTGTCTCATTAGGGTGAATGACAGTACATGGAAGGGCTACTAATGAATTTGAGGGGATGTACCAATGTGAATCTCCTCGAAATACCTAACACATAACATTCACATGTTTTTGAATTTTACCAAAATACTCTGATATAGTTTCACTCTCATCCATAGTCAGAAATTCAAATTGTCAACGTAAAGTTTGAAGCCTTACCGTTTTGTTCTTGTCACCATCTCTGTAGATCTTTATCAGAATTTTCCATGCTTCCTTAATAGTAGCAGCCTTCGAGATTTTGTTGAAAATCTTGGGGTTTACACATTGAAAAATGAAAAACCTTGCTTTGTTATCCCACTTTTGTTGCACCTTGTAGTTTTTCTTCTCCTCATCAGTAGCTTTCGGTTTAGGAACCTCGATCCCAATAGTGACTACTTTAGTTACATTCTAGAACTTGAAAATGGCTAGCATTTTGATCCTCCAATCATCAAATAACTTTCCATAAAATATTGGCAAAGCTCGCTGTATCATCCACCGAATCTAGTCATGCCTTCTTGACCAATCTTGGATGTGTTGTTATCTCCTTGTCCTCAACAAGAGATTGCCCCTTCAATCTTGAAAAAAAAAACACCTTTGTTGTTTCACACACAACTTCTGGTCTCATTGGCGCAAGCTTCTTAACAACACTGATTTTCAACGCTCTCAAGTCTTAGATTCCGCCTCTTGGATCATTTGAAGCTCTAGATACCATATAGAAACATATACTAACTAAAAAAATTTAGAAGGAATATCTCAAATCTTATTCATGACAAAACTGCACAAATTTATATACAAGAGAGAAAACAAATCAAATGTTGTTATTGCAGAGAAGCACAAGACCAAGGGTGATGAATTTAAAGTTGGTGAAATTGAAAGCCATGTTTGAATTCATATCTGACATATAAATATCAATGAAACTGAGGTTTACAAGAGGCGAAGAGTAATCATGTTAAAGGTATAATAGTTTTTCTAATTGAGATTCATCGTTTATGATATTTTTACTTGACCCCTAATTTCAAGTGGTTGTAACACTTATAACCATACATATGTTTTTGTTCAATAACAAGAGTGAGAATAACAAGAATGTTCATATCTTAGTTTCATTATCATCCTTAATAGAATTATTATCAAGAGAGTGAGAATAACAAGAATGTTCATATCTTAGTTTCATTATCATCCTTAATAGAATTATTATCATCCTTGATAGAGTCAATTTTTGTATTAAGCTTCTGAAATTTTAATCTATTGATTTTATTTTTAAAAACCATACTAAGACGTATATAAACCATACTTGTTAATGAAATATTAATATAATTTGAAACCTATTTAAAGAATTGATATAATGAAAACTTAAATTGTTATTTAAGTTATTTTTATTGACTTAAGAACTTATCACTGATTTAAACTTAAAACAAAACTTACCTAATTAATAATTAAATAGTAACGTAAAAAAAATTAAAGATGGATGATTAATTAAGTTCCTAAACATGTCAATTAGCGGTAATTTAGTCTTTAAGAAGTAAAAAAAATTATTTAGTCTTTAAAAATACAGAAAAGACGACAATTTAATTCGTCTTATTATTGTTACATTAGATTAAGTTTGTTCTTTGTTAGATTTCCATGAATTTGAAAATTTAAGGAACAAATTAGTAATTTATTTAAAATTAAATATTGTATTTTTTTATATAAGAAGTTGGGAAGATGGTTAAACTTTTTTTTTTTTTCATAAAGTTTGTTAAACTGTTAGAGGATCGAAATGGGTAATTTTTCATTTTTATTTATTTAATAAAATGTGCCACGTGGTAGGTTGCGGGTGGACCCAGAGAGGCATGTTAGCAGGGTGAGTTCACTCGCACACTAGAATCGGAGGGACTGCAGAAGACGCACGCAATCGACCATCCATGGCGGCTTCTGATCCCAACAAGTTGCTCTCCAAGGCTGATAAGCTGTCTGTTCCTCTTCTCTTTCCATTCTCTTTTCCTTCCTATCTCTTCAAATCAAATGCGCAATCTCAATTTTAAATGCCACTGTCGATTTCGCTGCAGCTAGGTTTAATTCTTTAATCGTCTGGGTTTAATTCTTTAATCGTCTGGGTTTAATTCTTTTATATTATGTGTTCTTTTACAATTAAATGAAATAAATTGATGTAGCAGCAGCACACAATTTTGTTTCTTAGATCGATTTGTCCGAATGATGTGATCCAACTACTGTTCAAATCATACTGATCATGAAATTGGTTTTGAGAAAGTGCCTCTGTACTTGAAGATTACGTTAATTTGATTCTGTTGTTAAGTTATGTGAGTGAATCAGCTCTCAGCAGTGTATTTTCTTCTTATTCTCAATATGATTTAACTGTGGTTCAGCCCATTGATTCTAGGCCATAGTAATTATGTTTGTCTTTTCATGAACTAACGCACATATATATACACTTATATTACTTTTTCATTTCAGGACGACCCTCAGTCTCACGAGGTGGAGTGCGGATTGGAAAAGTGCGACTGCTCTTTATGAGCAGGCAGGTAAAGTGTTCAAGCTTCCTTAATATATGATTTTTGTGCTAAATGAAATTTTGGAGAAAAGATTGGTTGATGGTAATCTGCTAAACTCTTTTTCTTTTTCAGCTAATGGGTTTCGAGTTGCCAGGAATCATGAGAAAGCCAAAATAGCATATGAGAAAGCTTCAAAAGGACAAGAAATGCTTTCATCGTATCCTTGTATCAGATGATTATCTGTCTTCCTTCTTCATTTTGTTCCATTAAGGGAAAAATAATTATTACGGTACTATATAGTGTTATTAGATTCACCGGTTAATCAGTCTCTTTGTCTTTCCTTGACACGTAAACCAGACCTTGGGATGCAGCTAAGCACATGGAATCTGCCGCTGCTCTGGCAAAGGATCTAAGTCACTGGCAGGAAGTTTTGGACTTCTATCGAAGGGCATCTGAATTGTACATGGAGTGTGGGAGACCACAACCTGCATCAGACGCCCTTGCAAAGGGAGCCCGGTAAACAGAGTGTTTCCTTTACCCTCTTTCGATGCAACAGAGTTCTCTGTTTTATTATTGTGTAGTTGCTATTAATATTAACCAAAATCTTATGAAGTTCATAATGTGAAAGCTCTACTAGATTGGTATACGGTAACTTACATCTATCCCTTGGGAACATCTAGGAGGCTAAACCTTGATGTATCTGTATTTTGTCGGAGTTCAAGTGTGAATGAGAGTCCCATATCGTATAAAAATGAACAAGTTGAATAATATATAAGTGAGAAAGACCTACCAACCTATTGTCTTTAAGATTGTAGGTTGAAATCAGTGTCATATTCTCTTATGTGATAGTTTGTTATCAATTGTTGAAGATTCTCTGCTGCTTTTCCTCCTCCGATTTCCAAACATAGTTTTTGGTATATTTGTTTAGTAGTTTATATATGGAGGCTATAATATGCTAAATTCGTAGAGCCTTAGTATTTTGTAAATATGCTTCTACGGCATTTGGATTGCTTATGGATGGGTTTTCATACGGCCTCTCTTTGGTGTGCTGCCGGGGGTGTTTCTAAATGGCTGCCATTTCAGATTTGATAGGGATTGGGAAGCATTTATACTTTCATTATGTTTTCATGTTCTCAACATGTTTCCTTCTGTTGCCTTGTGTTGTAGCTGTGTTCCCTCCTCTTCTCTTTAATAAAGTTCCTCTCTGCAAAGGAAGATTTGATATTGAACTTTTTTTTTTTCCAGTCAATGGTTGCTAGAAAGAAAGCAGTAATTGAGTCAATATAAATTATTAAAAGCCATGCATACTAGTCTGTTAAATTTAACATATCATGATGGTTCTCATATCATATTTTATCTCATTATGTACTGCACTGCTGCAGAATGCAGATGCTGTACGTAAAAACATAAATTAATGCATATATTACATCTGTATATATAATACAGTATTACTGTCTATTGGGAAGTTATTTATATAGGTCTTTCTCTCTCAATTATTTCAACAATCAATGTTTCATAATACCTTTGCCCCTCTTTTTAGTGCATTGGAAGATAATATGTCTGAAGAAGCTATTCAGCTTTATACAGATGCTTGTACAATTCTTGAAGATGATGGAAGAGAACAAATGGCCTTTGATCTATATCGTGCTGCTGCTAATGTTTATATTAAACTTGAAAAGTAAGTTTTGTTAGAACTTAGAAGTTGAGGCATTACATTTTGATGGTACATAGAGTATGAAGTAAACTTATCTTCCATTGTTTTTCCATTGATTTGTCTTACTTTTGTATGTTGGCATTGCTGAGAATGTATAAGTTGAACACTATTGTTGACTCTTAAAAAGTGCAATGTAAGATGGATGGAGTTTGCTAAATGATGAAATCCACAAGTGCAAGGCCCTGTGCATCTGTTTTTTTTTCTACCATGTCCATGTGTCATTATCCTGCAGAATGTCTATATTTTTATTCTGTTAATTTCATGCCTATTAATGTTCAACTTATTGCATGTGATGCATTATAGATGTGATTGGGCTTATGTAATAAAAAAGAAATAGAATGGTAAATCAGTTAAATAATTTAAGGTCCAAAACTTGGGGTCTGGAAAGAATTATCACTTTTTACCAATGATTTGATGATAAAGGACCATATTGGGGGCAATGTGGCCAGTGACTGACCTTGACCATTGATTTTGGGAGGGTTAAATAATATATTATTAATAAATAATAAATAAATATAAAAGGGTAAAAGAAGATGAAAAGGTCAAAGGATAAAATTGTAAATATATACATAAATATATTAAATGATCATTAAGTTTCGGGGTCAAAATCATAAATTGTACGAGAGTTTCAAAATTGAGAGGAGGCTAGAGGATAAAATTATAAATATATAAGTAAATATATTAAATGATCATTAAGTAGGGGGGCCAAAATCATAAATTATGAGAGTTACAAAATTTCGGCCGTCCTCAGTTCCCAAGAAGGCCGCCACTGAATGTGGCAGTTTGGTGCTGTGAATAGCAATGCCCACTTTATAATTGGAGGCTTAAAGTGCTCTTTTGCTGATTCAGGAAAGATATTTGGGGCATTTGGCTATGTGCACATCTTTATGTAGATTTCTTTGAATGAGCATTGTCTCTAGGAGAAGATTAGTCCTCTGGTTTCCACTTGATATTAGGCTTGATCTTTTAAGAGGGGCTTCCCTTATAGATAGGGTTTGGGAATCTCTATTTATTGATTTTTCCCCTTTTTCCTCCCAGGAGGGCTTCTTATTCTCCAAGCTTTCTGCAGAAATCTTTTCCTTTTTCTTTTTATATAAACAGAAATATGCCAACCAGTTAGTCAATAACTGCTACTTTTGAAAGCTGAATTCATACTTTTTGTAGAATGCTAATACACAAATTATTTTCATCAGTGCAAATTCTGAACATGTCAATTCTTGTATGTTGACTTGGATATTTCGTTGGGCTTGCTTTCATAATACACAGATATACAGATGCTGCATCTTTCATGTTGAGATTGGGCGTGGCAGCTGATAAGTGTAATGCTACCAATAGCCAGAGCAAGGTTTGGAATATTTTTACTTTGTATTCTGTATTTTACATCATATCTTATAATCAGAGACTTGAAAAAGAAAATATTTGGTAATAGGTAGGCCTTTTAAACGGATATGCTGGAACATTGTAAGTATGACAATAAGTGAATACTCTGATGCTGACAGTTTGGGTGTGTTAAGTAAGGGTATTAGCTTTATTGTGCTCTTGTGTGGAAGACTAGATTAACAATATCTATCCATAGTGGCATTAATTATGCCCGTGACAATTGGAACTTGCATCTATAGAAATGGCGGAGCACTGGGATAGTAACTTTTTAAGCTTTAAGTTGATATTTATTTTGGTCATTGTTAGTTGGAGGTTTGAAGCAATGCATTTGCTACCAAAAAAAATTAAGAATTCTCTAAACTGGTTTTATAAAGCATTGTTTCAAAAAATGTATAGCTTAATGTGGTCATTTGATATTATTGAGGAATCTATTAAGCTTGGGTGGTTCTTTTTGCTTTCTTACAGTTTTTTTTTTTTTTTTTTTTCCTTGGGAAGATATCTCATCCTTTAAGATAATGTGTTTCTATAATGAAAATATATATGGTATTAACTACTAAGTAATTAGGAAACTGTTGAGTATTTAAATACTTAGTTTACTAGTGCACCTAAGATAAACTGTATTTACCTTTATGTCGTCATATAGTATTATTAAAAATAAAGCTTTAGGGTAAATTTTATGTATTGAACCATTGTGAGTAATGATTTAAATGTGTTCTCTTTGTCACATTTCCATAGTTTACTGAACGTACACAAGATAAACTGTATTTGTGTCTTTATGTCAACAATTTATTAAATAGAGCTATGGGGTCAACTTATGGACTGAACCATTGTGTTGTGAGTAATGATGTAAATGTGTTTCCTTTCTGTTCTGTTACATCTTGTTTTCTCATTTCTCTCTCCCTAAAATTCCAGGTTTTCAAGAAATTTGATCCTAAAATAAGTATAACCTTACTGGTGGTGCTCTTAGGCAGTGAGTTATGGAAATCTTTACCAAGCTCAAGTAAATGTGTTGCTTTATTGCTTCACCTCTCCAAGTTAATCCTTTCACTAATAAAATCTGAGGCTAAATTTAATGTTCCGTAGTCTGGATACAGTTATACTCTACCATTAAATATGTTTATCATTGTTGTAATCTTTTAGGTTCACCAGAACAAATATATAGTATCAGAGCGCAGGCAATGTAGTTCATCATGGTTGCTTGATTTGAAACATACAAACTAGCACTTGGAAACTTGGATGCAAGTTGAGGGCAATGGATAAGAATCCTTTTTATTAATATTGTTAACTCAATTATTTGTTTGACACTCTTTTTATGATGTGCTTTGTTTTGTTCCACATTTTCACACGGTCAGTTCCAAGTCTAGAAATAAGAGAGTTGTGTCAGACAGTAGAAGCAATCACATAACTTTGTCTAATGTTTATGACATGGATAAGTGTTTTATTTCAGTTCGAAAATGATTGACTTTTTTAAAATTGGTGCATAGCTTCCTCATCATTGTTACACTGAAAGTGGATAAATGTTTCTATACAATTGAGAATAATGTGTTAAAACTATTAATTAATTTGTGCTAAACTTTCTCATATACCTTGTCATAATGCAGGCATATCTTAGTGCAATTGTTATCTACCTTTATGCTAATGACTTTAAGCAAGCTGAGAAGTGCTATAATGACTGTTCTCAGTAAGTTTCTGGCTCCTCCTTGTTATTCTGCCAAGTAGCTGCAAACTGAACCAGTGTGATATGGATCATTATAGCATTGAAGTTGTCATCATTATAGCATTGAATTTGTCATCATTATTTTTGTTGTGTCCCTGTTATTGGCTTTTCTTCTTTTGATTTCCAACTCTAATTTTCTCTTGTTCCTAGCATAAATCATATGGTAAAGTTTTTGCTTTTAGAAAAATGGAGAGTTCTTTGTTATTATCCTTAGCTATATTGAATTTGATTTAATTGATGAATAAATGGGCATATTTGTGGTGTCTCTAGGGTTGATGCTTTTCTCAGAAGTGACCAGAACCGTTGTGCTAGCAAGCTACTTGCTGCCTACACAGATGGAGATGTTGAAGAAATCAAACGTATTGCTCAGTCGAGCGGTATTTCACATCTTGACCATGTGGTAAGTGATTTATTATGAGTTCTTTTGGACGATAGTTGAGTAAAAGTAAAACATAATGAATACAATCTAGCCTTATAAACTTGATGGCTTGTTGTCATGATGTTAGGTTTCCTATTGTTGAATCCATAAATTATATAGATCCAATAATCCAACTTTTTTATTTTCCAATTGGTTTCAATGGTTACCTCCCATAGTGACTAGAGGATCTTGTTGACCTTTACTTGGCTTTAAATCTCTTAACCCTCCACTTTGTAACTATCTGTCGTTAGACATGTTTTATAGCGTAACCAGATTACCAGAGCCAAAGTAAATGTAATGGGGAAAACACAGCTAGTTGTCTCGCATCACTCTAGAAACCACTTTACTGATACCTGATTTCTATTCTGAAAATTCCGGCGTGGCTTCAGAATTTTTTTTTTGTGAACTCTACTATAGCAATTCTGAAGATTACTACTTGAGTATCCTCAGATTGTTTATTGTACGTCCTAAACATTGTAACTTTATTCACTCTATCTGTATCCTCTTTAAGCCCATGGAGCACCTTGCGTTTGTAAACTACTTTCATGATGGCTCTGCTCAGCATTGCCTCTCTTACTTTTCAAGAAGCTTCCCATGGTTTCAGCTATTGTTTCTTTGTATGTTTTCACCAGTCCTGTTTTTTTTTTTTAAGCTGCCCCTTCTTTGAAATCCTATTTTGCCATTATCGACTGCTTGTCAAATTTTATGTAACACTCAATATTCAACCGGTGACTACTGATGCTATTACTTCTATTAATGGGGTTTATATATGTGGGCTCAACTCTGTATGACCTTTTGGAGTGCACTATCTGCAGATCATTAAGCTTGCAAGAAAACTTCCAACAGGTGATGTGAGTGGATTAAAGGCTGACAATGCTGCTGAAGATGAAGAGGAGCCACTTGATGAAAACGACTTGACTTAAACTCTCAATTTGATCTTCTCTCTGTCTATTTCATTTCAATTTGATGAGTGAATTTAATCGATCAGTATATATTTGATTTTGTATAATAATATTGTTTTCTTGGTATACATGTATAATGCAGTGCAGGTAATAAGAGCTAATTTTTATTTATGCCTAATATTAACCCCACTGACTTAATTCGTCAAATCAAGTGGTTAAAAAAGTATGTTGAATTAGGTTAATCCACATTGTTTAGTTAAATACTGTTTTATTGGAAAACATATTTACAATGACAATCAATTCCCATGATTGAATCTAAAATTAGTTTAATTAAACCTTTTTTCTTAATTATCCAATTTTAGTTTTAGGGTTTTAACTAAATCAAAATGAGTTTCTCAGATATGAGGACTGTAAGGTTGGATTATAAATTAATCTTTGAATTGTAATTATATGTTTTAATCTTTCCATGAGATTAAAACTATTAAAGTGAGAGTGAGTGATGAGATGTGTGATTTAAAGGAAAAGAAAACCCTCTTCCGTCTCTTTGTGCTTCTCTTCTTTCTTCTTCCCAAGAAACGAAAGAAGCAGCTCTTCCTCATCCTCGCAAAAAATGCAAATCCTCCTCTGCCTCCTCATCCTCATAATGGTGGGCCCCACCACTCCAACACCCACTCCAGCACCACCCTCTCCACCAACGAAACAAATGAACAACATTCTGGATGCGCTGATAGGCGCCGGTGACTTCAGCTCGTGGGTTTCGATCCTCTCCTCCGCCAACGGCACCATCCTTCCGGTGAGCGCCACTCTCTTCGTCCCACGCGACGCCGCCGTCGACCGTCCGCCACCGGATCCCCTCCTACTTCCTTACCACGTCGTCCCCCAGCGCCTCCCCTTCTCCGACCTCCTCCTCCTCCCCCGCCGCGCCCGCCTCCCAACCCTCCTCGCCGCCAAAACCATCTCCGTCACCGACAACTCCCCCGCCAACTTCTCCCTCGACCACACCCCCCTCACCCACCCCGACCTCTTTTCCACCCCCTCCCTCGCCGTCCACGGCGTCCAGTCCTTCCTCGACTACTCCATCTTCGGCGACGGCCTCCCGCCCCCTCCGCCCTTCCTCCCCGGTGGTCACGTCATCAGCTCCGGCTGGAACACCAGTGCGTCCTCGTGCTCCCGCCTCAACGGCGTCGTTTCACTCCCCCTCTTCTGTTTCGTTCTTGGAGTGCTACTATCTTAGGATTATTCAATTCTTGCGTGCTACGAACCTCAATTTCAAGAAATTGAATAAGGTTTTGAAGATTATGATAGAACATGGCAAGCGAAAGGGTTGGTTTCTTCGATTTCTGCTTCTCTGACAAACAAAACTTACTAATTTCAACAAATTGGGCTAGTTTCTCTAGTTCTGCGTGCACTGTTTTAATGTTTTTTTTTAAGACAGTGGGTCCCGCTTCAACAGCAACGACGTCGTTATGATTTTTTGGTATAGAAATAGAATAACATAGGTCTATTTTTAGATTCCGTCATCATGAATATTGAACTTAAGGATTGGTTTGATGAAGTGTATATAGAAAGAATATTCTTCTTCTCTTGTTTTTCATTCATTTTCTTTCTTAGAAGTAAAGGTTAACATAATACACAGTTTTTAAATTAATGTTGAACCTAAAATCGTTTTCTATTATTTTATATTTTACAGCCGTTAATGAATTTTTGATCTATAAAGTTTTTAATGTTATTGTCAATTTTAGTATGCATTGCTTTTCTATAATACTTTTATTTTTTATTTATTAATTTAATAAATAGCATTCATTAATTATTAATGTAAAGGTTTAATTCGTCAACATAATTAAGTCTGCCTGTAATTTTAAGATTACACACACACACACACACATATATATATATATATATATATATATATATTTCTTTTTAAATATTGCGACGTATATTTCATCTTATCCCACGTATCTTCCCTCTTCACAATAATTGGGTCACAATTTTCTGAGTTGATACATAATCATTAATTTTGTATTTTATCTTATGTATGTCTCGATTCATTGTAAAATGAACTAACCACGCCGATAAATCACTCAAATTAAATACAAATAATGCAGGACTAACATCAACTTAGAAATGAATGAAATCTCAAACCTGCAATTTATCAAACATAAGATTGTGTCATATTTAAAGCAGCCGGTTTGGGTAGTAAGATATAAGGATTTATGCATTGCATTTTGCTTGAGACTATGAACATACATGTAAAATTCTTAGCTGAAGCGATTGCATTTGAGTATTAGATATGTATTTTCGCAACCTTGTATCATTTATTGTAACAGAAGCATTTTCTAAGTATATACAGAAATTTAGAGAGAAGGAAAACAAAGTAAACCTATATCCAGCTACAGCTAAAGGGTAGACCTTAAAAGGAAAATGTATAGGAATTTTTGAAAATGGGTCAATGGCCTTATCCATCTGTGCATAGGTCACTGATGATGGGCAAGTTGCAAAAATTTATCTCCGCTTCACCCAGAAAACTCTTCAGTTTAATTTATCTTTGAAAGAATGGATCTAACTATAATGGCTACATGAAATATAACTATCCGGAGTCACAAAGAATTGAGATCTTCATGTTTCATTGACAAGCTTTCCGGATCTCATCCATCAGGGCCATCGATGTCACTTTCCACTCACAGCACCGTGCATCAGAGCTGAGTAACTTATGCATTGTGCTTAACTCATCAGGACTTGCGCTTTGTAGTATTGGTTTGATCTCTTCATGGAAGCTATGGTTAATCAAACTGATACCAAAAATTTTGGTATTGATATTACCTAAAGGGCTTCTGGAACCATAGGTGAAGTTATCAACAATCCTGCCTGAAGGGGCAACTTTGAGATTCCAGTACTCTACACACATATGACAGGGATCTTGAACTTCGATAGCCTGAGAAAGTGTCAGAATGTAATAGAACATCAGAAGCAAGTACATAATTCCAGAGGAACATTCTTCGACAACAAGTTTTACCAAATTGTTTCCAAATTAATTCATTATCAATGAACAAAATTTGCCATAGTAAGCTACGTTAATTTAGTTCATCAACACAATTTGGTAAAGTTTTGAATTTATGTGAATTAGTTTCACATTAGATAATAAATATACATAGAAGATACTAGTGTTAGCTCAAGTTGCGCTAATATATAAGATTCATTTGTTTGTTACCTGAATAATTGATGGTAAAAAGAAGCCAAACATTCTGTGACCGTTAATGTTTTTCAGGAGCTCTAAGGTAGGGAGTTCTAGTTCACCTAGACTCCTCCGCCTCATGATTTCATGATGTAATCTCTCCAGAACTGATTCCCAGCAATTATCCGCTGAGGTATTGGTGAAAGCCTCTCTTGGACATTCTTCCATGGTTACCTGAAATACATTTATGGAACAAGATAGAAATACACATTAATTGAAATCATTTTACTAGCATAGAGACTTGGACATAGTTAATTAAGTAGAGGTATATAGTAATGTGATAGAGTTCTTAACCTAAAGAAGCAAAAGATGCCCCTACATTTAACATCTAATTAGGAAAAACTAGCAGCTGTAGGGTTTATCCCACCAATACATGAAGCAACCATACAATATATTTAAAGATGAGGGAAACCTTTATATAATATGAAGAAACGTAGGTAAGGAAAAAAAAAAATCTTCCTAGATCAAAATATTCTTCATGTTGAATCTACACTGGAGACTATGAAACTTTGTGTTTTAATTAATATTAAGGCCAAAATGCATATGAAAAAGGAAATTGGCATCTGAAAATGTTAACTACATGGATTCTAGTATTATCAAGAAACAGTAACTTGTCAATATATTTTGTTCTCAAACCTAAAACAGAAACAAGGTCAGGAATGATACCTTGAAAAGGGGTCCAAGAAATCCAGCATCAATGACTTCAGAAATATAGCTACAGATTCTCGTTGGATCAAGAATGCTAAAGAACTGAACTCGGCTCTTGAATCCTTCAAGTGTACCAAAATGTAGACAAGTCAAGTTCCAAGAAAATAAATAATCAAAGGTAAAATATAATCCAGAAAAGAACCTATGGACGTACCTTTTGGATATATTGCATGTTTACTGCACCACAGCTTTCCATGAACAACAGATCCCAAACTTACAGGCTCAACAGAAGTACCAAACATTCGCACTAAGCAACTTTCATCTGTCGAAGCTATAAGAGTATCTGTGGTGCCTATGACTGCTTTTTCAAATAGGTTGTTGTGCAGCTTTCCTGAATCTGATTGCTGATCCAGTTCAGTTTTTCCACCATCAAATCTATGAACACCCGAGAAATCTGTCTTTAGAACAGAAATCGAGTTTGACAAGTTTCTGTCACCACCAAGATCCATGTTGTCTTCTTCCTTTTTGGCCTCTGAACAGCATACTTTTTCATCTACTGAAACACCTTCATTGTGATGGTTATCAGCAATATCCAGTACATGATTTTCAGTTTCACCAGAGATGACATCAAGATTTAAATCCAGATAACCATCATGATCCATTTTATCTTCCTTGTCTGTGGCAAGCTTTTTATCACTATTATTGTTACTATGACTATCTATGCTGTCATGTGCTGCACTAGAAGATACACGGTGAGACTCAGACTGCACTACCTCCGAAGTAATATGACTATTAGGACTACTAGGTGTGTTTAAATTTGACCTATCCTTGGTTACTACACAGCCAGTTAAGTTATCCATTTCTTCACAATTCTTGGTTTTGTACACATCTTTCTCAACATCTGATTTATGTATGCAAACGTCATTAGCATGGGCAGAAACCATTCCAAAGTTTTTATTTGCCCACACCTCAAGAGCATGTGATTCTCCTTCTAATGCTTCATGCAGATTATTTAGTTCATTTCTAGTATATCGAAGCAGAACAAATCTTTTGTCCATTCCGCATGAGCAGAACAAATTAGCATGCTTAAGGCAAGAATATCTGCCAGGAGAGCACTCACAACCCACAGCAGATAGGTGCAAGTCATAGAAGCAAGAGAAACATTCTCTTTCCGTGTATAAATCAAAGTCACTGTTCATCTTGAGAATCTTGAGATGAGTTGGAAGACAATCTAGCCTTTCTTCTTCCATCTTTATCCTTGCCTATCACAAAAAATAGTTAACAGAGGGAATAAGTGCAGGATAAAATATTTGCATGGTAGCTAAAACTATAAAACCAAAACTTTACGGAGCTTTCAGAAATTGTTGAAGTAGGTACTATCAAGTGGAGAGAGGGAGAGGATCATTACCTTAATTGCCTTGGGAAGATCTCCATCTTTCCCACAGACACTTTTCCATTTCAAATTTTTTGGAGTTTCCTTTCCAAGGGTTATTTCTGTAATGGCCCGTACTGCTTCCAGTGCTGATCCAAATAACAGCTTATCATGGGACAATGATGTCTTTCGGCATTGTAAACTGTAAAGCTCGACAGCATTCTGTCCATGCATTAACCAATCAATAGGAGCCACATTCACTGCCTCTGCACAGTTAAAGCCACAATTGAAGCCAGCATGATATGCCCTTGGAAAGGTAATAACAAATTCCCCAGAATGCTGAACTGTGCGATACACAGGCACTCCATCAGATTTAAGAATTGAAGGAGAAAACTGGGTAACCTGCTCAAACACGAAAATCAAAACCATTATTACCGTAATACTTTCCCAAACTTTTAAGCTATGTCTGTAATATTAGCAATAATCATCTTGAAAGTTTGTTGCGTACAAAATAATACATCATGAAGAATATTGGTCATGAGGAACTGTCAAGTCATTAAGATAGAAATGCCGATTCTCAATCACCACCTTTCCCTACACATGCTATTAATGTGGTTGCTAGAATCTATGATGGATTTTAGTTCCAGGTATACATACCCAGAAATTAAAACCTAACTACCATAATTTCCACAGTTTACTTAAATTATACCTATAAAGGCATCTTACACTACAACGATCAGCATGCATCTCATCATCACTAGACTTGAAATGAACAAACTATAAGTATGATAAACATTTGGATGAGTTGGCATGCAAAGATCATCAATTACTCCAGTTCTGATTGGGCTAGATTTCCCTACACAGAAGACTCACTCTAAGATTATGGTATTGAAGGAAACCTAATCTCATATAAGATACAAAACAGAACATAATCCACTTCAGTTAAATTATGTGCCATGGCAATAGCTGCATGTGTATATCTGTAAGATGGGTAGTTAGGGATTTGATTTGTATTCAAGACTGGATCCCTTTCTACATTAATATGTTACTATAAATAGTACACATTTGCGTACCTCTCAAATACACAATATTAATATATATTTCTTCTCCGTAGAAACAGTGAAATTCCAATAACCTAAGATACAATAGTCAACTAGTGAATGCAACTAAAAAAGTATAAGTGGTAGCATTATACCAGTTCATTTAGTAGATTTGGTTGTTCCTCAAATAAATCTGGTAAGTACTTCCTCATTGCGTTTTCCAAGGCTGGAGCGTGGTTTCCAGGTACTCCATACCATACTTTTGGGTCACCCCAATGCAAATAGTTTAGTGAATAGAGGTGATGGTCCTCAACATGCTGTTCCAAGAAATAGGAAATGATGACAATGTGTTATCGTTCAAGGAAACAGTTAGGATTTATAAGGAAAGAAATGCAAAATTCAAGATCAAGACATATGTTATTAGATTTATAGTACATCTCAAATATATCAACATAAGAACTATAAGTGTAAACATTCTGAGGATTCTATTAAATTAAATTATTTAATGATGAAGTGTGGAGCAACCCGCTTCATTATCTGTTACCTCTACTTCTTTATTTTGTCACCTCTAACTAAATGAGAAAAGATCTAAACTAAATTAACAGATGTTAAAATTTTAAGCAAATTTACATGAAGAATAACTTAAACTTTTCCCCTCATGTCATAACAAAAAATTGGTAATATTCCATCTCATGTCTTAACACTTCACCTTATTCATAAATTCAGAGTTGGAAAAAATTTCTGACCACTTACCCAGCAAAATGAGGAAAAACACATGCCAACATACAGCCATGGCACTAGAACTCCTGATATGTCACTTCCCTCGTAGCTTAGTACAGAACCTGGCAGTCGCGGGAAATTGTTCAGATTCCAACCAGACAGGACATATTGATCTGAGTCACTTGTAGTTATGGATGATGCCTTAGGAAAACCACTTCCAAGTGATCCAGTTTCCAAGTCAGCTCCATAATACACCTATAATATAACCCATTAACATATATATTGTTTGCACATTTGCATGGCAATAAAAAACTAATATAGTAGTCAATAGACAATGATTAATACCTCAACCTCATCACTTGGTTGCTCAATTATTCGCCAGTATTCACCTTCAATTTCCTCCTCAGAGGGCTCCCATCTTGTCTGATGGTTACTCTCACTAACAGTTCTGTCTACATTTGCATCTTTCAACCCAAAATAGCATTCCTTAAAAAAATTAGCATATTGCTGAAAGTCTTTAAGCGTGAAGTCTGATCCTGATTGAAATCCGAATTTCTCTTCAGACTCAGAAGAATTCAAAGCTTGATTGGCAGGCTTCTTCCTACATGTGCCTGTTCTAGAGTGCCTTCTACGTTTTCGCTTCCTTCCCCTACTTTTTTTCCTCATAGGTTCCCTATTTTGAAGCAAATCAATTTGCTGAATACGGGTGGGAAATGCAGCATTTTCCCATAAATCTTTCTCCTTAAGAGGACAGGGTGGAGCCCAGCAAGCTGGAGGAACAATCCTACATATGCCATAGGATTCAGCCAGGGGTCTTATCTTGGCTATGTAACTGAGTGTGTCTTCAAACTCCTAATTAGAAAGAGTAATAATAAGAAAACAGTTTACTCAAAATATAATACTTAAATACCACAAATGTGAAGATGGCTATAATAATAACAAGTACTTCAATAGTTGGATAAAAAACAGGTGCTTCTTCAATTATAGGCCGACATGCTCCAACCGGATCCCATCGAGCTGATATCTGAAACATAGCAACAACAATCCAACTTTTTAAAAATAAAAAGAAAACAAATATCTCTCCCCCTCTCTTATATATAGTCATTAATGGTAGACTTTAATTGCACTATTTTCTTTAATATGATAAGCAATATGTTAGAAAGACGGAATTTTCTTCATTGAGTTAATTGATATTCCATTACAGTTTCAATAAGATGGGCATTAGATTATTGAAGTTAGACTCAACTAATTGTTAGACAAGTATAGATTGCTCAAAAGAAGACCAAAGAAAATACAAAGAATTGTTCATGGACCATGTAAGCATTATGCAGTCTCACAATATAAGACCATATTGCATACCTTTCTTTTCCTTAGACTGTCAGAAGACTCAAATGCATTGTTATTTATTGACTTGTTCCCAAAAGGGTTATCCTGAAAAATATGTAAGATTGATAAAGTTGTTAGCAGCCTCACTAAAAGTAATCAAAGTAAATAATTAATTGAAGCAAATTATATAACTAATAATTTTATAATCCAAAATATTACCAAAGAATTTGGTACAGTGAGGTGTAAAAGTTTAATGTCAAAGAGATCAAAAGAAACCAATAGCACTGGTGTATGTAATTCCAAAAAGCTAAACAAAGGCAGTACTATTTTCTAATCTTCCCAAACCCCATGAAAGAAAGAAATCATATAGCTTACACATACATATTATGGGTCTCAGGGTACATAAAAGTGTTAAGCCATTACGATATCAGAAAGTTAACAATTTAAATCATCCTTCTGAGCAGCAGAAGTTAGTTCATAAACTAAACTACAAGGGTTGAACAACAATAGCTCTCACAAGTGAACATTCAAAGTTATAAGCAGAACAAAAAGTAAAAAAACAAGGATAATAAGATCACCAGCAATTGTGATACATAAAAACAGAATATAAGATTCGAATAGAGAGGGAGGCCGGATAATAAAATATTCTAAACAGGCTTAAGAAATAAATACGTGTGATACATTGCTAGGGTTTGAAGGTCTAACCTCTTTGGCGTCAGAATTTGTAGCCAATTTCAACTGCTCCATTGATGTGATATTTTTATATGAAAAGGCCAATTGAAGAACAATGCCTGCAAAAAAAAAAAAACAGATACCCCTTTCTCATTAGAGTTCACAAAAGATCAAGGAGATAACCCAGAAACAGTTTTCTACTTCTGTATAAGCAAACTAACTGACAAAAAAAAACGTTAAAAACAGTAAAAAGGAATAATCAATAAAATTAAGAGGGGGGAAAAGAGGAACAAATGCAGAACATCAAAATACTCACCCAATGCAGCAAAGATAGTTAGGTTCCTTTCACGTTGTGATTGCGTACAAATGAATTAAACTAGAAATTCCTTTAGAGATCAACACAGTGAAGAAAACCTAAATGCAAATTCAATTTGCATGTATATGCAAATTTCTGTGAAACCCCTTAACAATTACCTACAAATTAAAAAAAAAAGTACAAAATCCTATGAATCTTGGAATCAAATCAAATGCTCAAAATTCAAACAGTTCCCACAGAATGAAGACAACAAAATTAAAAGGAGAAACAGAAACAACAATTGACTGAGTAAATCTCTTTAATTTATTTTGACAAGTCGACTGGGAAACAAAATTATCAAATTAATAATTAATAAAAAGATATTATGAGAAAATATATCTCCTAAGTAAAATGCGAATACTTTTCAAAATATTTCATTTAATTCCGTCTACAATCTTTTCTTAAAACGAAGACAATTAAAACCATTTTTAATATTTTTGAGAAAAAAATAAATAAATTATAAACACTAAATGGTCTCATCATTTATAATAACTCACGACAGAGAAGTTTAGATACTTCTTTGAAAGGTGACTTTGCTTCTTGAAATCGTCTTCTATTTTTATTATAATTATTTTTTTCTTTTCTATCTCTAGCACTTTGTTATTATATTATTTCTCATCCAATTTTTTACATTGAATAAATTTTATATCTATTTAAAATTATTACTTTTTCATTTTAATCCTTATTTAATTTTTAAATTTTTATGATTTTAGAATATAAAAATAAATAATTAAAAATAATATTATAAAAATTAAAAGATAATAGAATAGTACGTATATGTATCAGAAATTATCAGATAAATTATATGACTATAAAACTAGTAATTAAATAATAATTCAATTATAATTTAAGACGCATTTGAATTGAAAATAATGAAATAAAACAGTAAAAAGTTTATATATTTACTATTACGATGATTAATTATAAATTATTGTATATAATAAATCTGTGATAAGATAGGATAATATTACTCTTAAGTAGGTACGAGTATGAATTTATTTAGATTGAAAATGCATAATAATTAAAATAAAAATTAAATGAATGAAAAAAATAAAAATAAATGAACGGAACTATTAAGAAAATATAAATAATAAGAAAATAATAAAAATAAAACTATTTAAATTTAAATAAATAAATAAATAAAAGATAAAGACAATAGAGAAGGGTCAATGGAACCGCTCTAACGGCACGCAGTATTAACGGAAAGTGGTGAAACCAACCAACTAACTCTATGTACCGTGTCTGCCACGTAACATCAAACAAAACTGTGGGTCCTTTGTTTTCTTTTCATTTAAAAAAAAAATTATTCTTTTTGGTTAAAATTTATTATAATTTTTTTTATTTACCCACACAACCAACTTCTTACATGTTATTGGAATTTTTTCTAATTTATTAAATTATTTATATTAATTTAAATTGTTTTAGACATATTTATAACATTTTATGTATTGGTTCATACAAATAGTATAAATATGCGAAAATTTTAAATATTGATAATATTTGATCATATTATTCATACCTTATTCAACTTTAATGTGATTCTCTCATTAATATATCTTGGATTGAGAAGATGTTGAAATTCAATGTTTTGTTTGGGTGAGAATAGATTAAAAATAATGAAAAATGAAAGAAAATAAGATACATAGAATAGAGAATAAAATCACTTAAATAAGGATACAAAAGTGTAAAAAATTAAAAGAAGTGAATAGAGACTTTATAGTTAATATGATTTATTTGATAGAATGAAAATTTAAATTAAGTAATAACATGAATTATTGAAATATCTTTATTTAAATTTAATAAAAAGAAATATGAATTAAAAACAATAAATAATTGAATATGAAATAAGTATTTCATAAAATTAAAATTAATATTGAAAAAATGTTTTAAAAAATTCATAGAAAGATAAATAGATAAAACAATTTACAGGGTGCGCAAGAAAGAACATACTTAACTAATAACTCTTTTTTTTTTTTTAATTTAACACAATGTTTTATTCTTTAATTTGAAGTTTGTAATTTTTTTTTTGACATAATATAACACTCAATCTATTCTGCTCATTTTTTTAATTTTATAAAATTTTAAATTTTAAAATAGATCTTTTTATACAATATTTTTTTTACAAATTATTTAGACAGTATATAACAACCTATTTTCAATATACGTTAATCATGTCATTTAAAAAAATCTAAAAATTCAATTAAAAATTGATTTTAAATAATTTTTATTTGTTTAAAACAATTTTTAGTTATTTTTATTGATTCAATTTTAATAATTGAATACATTTCTACATTAAAACATTTTTCAATTAATTTTAACAATAACGAGAAGTTGTTTTAATTTAAGACCCAAATACTCCATCTTAAAAAATACTTAAAAAATATTTACATTTACTTATAAAATTTAGATTTTGTAATTTCTAAAGGAGAGACTGTAATTTATCTTACTTAATTAACTCCTGGAACTTATTCTGTGGCTAAAATGACATAATATGATAAAATAATTTGTTTATGTTCATGTAATCAGTTATAAATTAAATGACTAACATACTATAATTTTATTCTAAGTTTCATCTAATCTTATATTATACTATTTTTAAGTTTCTAATTAAGATAAGATTCAATTATGATTTTCATTTTCAAAATTTAGCATCATTTTATTTTTAGTCTGTTAAACTAAAAAAGCACATGTATTTTAATCTATAAATATTAAATTTGAAAAATAAAAAATATTTTTTAAAAACTGTTTTTAATCATTTAAATATATGGTTTAAGGATTAAATAATAAGATCTTATATTTGAGGGGTAAAAGAAATAAAATTTAAGGAACTTAAAAAAAATAACCCAAATTTTAGAAACTAAAAGCATAATTAAATCTTAATATAATTATAGTAAAATTACATATTCTAGTAAAAATAGGTAAATTATTTGATTTTATTAAGTTTTCTAAAAAAGTAGACCATATACTAATTTTAATCAAACTTGTTATGTTGTTTTTAAAATTAAGGTACTGAAACTTTATTAGATTTTAGATAAAAAAATAGTAGAAGAAAATTGAAGTAATAATGAGATATTATGTCTAAATAGAATTTTGAATTGGTAAATAATTTTTTTTTATTTTGTATTTTGGTTATTTTTTAAAGTTTAAGGAAGAAATCTAAATAATAAGATATATTCTGGTTACGAGGATGATGTTTAGACTTTGGAATCAAGAATATTAAGTTGATCACACATGTACGTATGGAAGCTAAGATTCAAGAATATTCACCTAAAAAGAATTAGTTATTTTATGTGTTTGGAAATAAATTATATATGTTTTGAAGTGTTATAATGAAATTAGAAATGTATGGTTATATTATTTTGGTGTTTTATGATATTCTTATTGAATGATTGTAGTATAAATGAGTTGTAAATATTGGGCTTTGAAAGGGAAATGACTGAAAATTAAGAAAAACCTTGTTTCTTGCTCGTTTTTCACTTAGTGATATTTGTGTTATTTAAATGAAGGCAAGACGGTAAAAGAAGTAGTTTAAGGCGGTGAAAGTTCATTTAAGTAAGAATCAACTGATGGAGAATATGTTCGCTCAAGTGTGAGGAGAGAGAATATATGTGAATAAATTTTTAATTAAACAAAATTTTTGAAATATTTTTGTTTAAATTTTTAAAAATCTTAAAAAATAGCTTCAAATTTGAATTTTACTTTCCATATGTTCAAATTAAATCCTTAAAAGTAAACAAATCTAATGAAACAAGCATTAACCAAAAAGAATATTTATACAAAAAGTTATAACTAAAAGAGTAGATACAAATAAAATAAGATAATATATAATTTTAGTATTAGTTAAAATAAAGCATTTTGTTATAAATGTAAGAAGATGACTAGTGTGATGAATTATAAGACGATATTATTAAATGATAATTTAGTAATTATGTTTGTTTTGGCTGGATTGGTTAGTCTAATAAACTTCAATTCCTGTTATAAATATTTTCTCATAATATTTGTGTACCAGTTTATATTGTGAATACAATTTATTCTCAGTGTTTCTTTGGATACATTTTTCTCTCTCGCGATATTTGTTTTAGACCCCTCTCTACTAACAAATATGATAATGTTAGTATGTTTTTATACTAAAATATATTTGTTGAAATTTAGTCAAATTAGGAAATTGACTCATAATTAATTGAGATATATCTATATATATAAGACCATGGACACTTAAAGAGGTATTATTGAAAGCAATGAGGGGGAGATTGATGGAAATGTTCCTGCATTCCCAAAAGATGATTTTGATGATGATTCAAGTCAACTACATTCAAGTCAACACCATTCAAGATGAATTTAAGGACAAGCTGAATTTATGACGTAGGTGGCAATATGAAACATTTCCCTACATGCCCAATATATGTTTTTGATAAAGATGATGATTCAAGCAAACCCAAGATAATTCCTGAAGACTAGATAAAGTTTTAGAATAATGAATATGGAGGTACAAGTTGATGAAGTAATAATATTATGCATAAGCCTCCAAAGCACAAGTGTGATAAAATTCATAACATGATATTTTTCACTATCATAATTAATTATGATGCACTCTCTATCATAATTAATTATACTGGTAATATAATCAATTATGACAATTCAAATTTGAAAAATATATTCGTTTTAAAGAATAAATGTTTTTGAATACATCCTGATTTTCTCTATAATATTATTAATGTCCAACGACCATTTTCTGATGTTATTTTTCTATTTAATTAAGTTTTGATGAAAAATTAAACACACACAATTACAGAATTCGAAAATACAATTTACATTCAATCAGTTTTGAGAAAAGAATTCTGAGCGAGGCAACAGAGATGTTTTACACCTTTTGAGAAAACCCTCCTCTCTACTGTCTTCTGTGCTTTCATTGTTAATCACACTTGTTCTTGGAGATTGACATTCTACAGGCTTCTACAATTTGTTGTCTCCATTACCCAGGTATGTCTGTTCTTATTTTTATTACCTTCATCCTTTTTGCATTGGTGGAAAATGAGGTGTTTTTCATCCTTAGTGTGATTCTAGGGAGGGGTTCATCCTTAGTGGGATTCTAAGGAGGTGTTTTTCATCCTTTGATTTGTTCAGAGGAAGTGTTCATCCCTAGTGGGATTCTAGGGAGGTGTTCATCCTTAGTCGGTTTCTAAGGAGGTGATTGTCTTTTTAATTAGTTTACTTTTTACTGGTGCTTCTGCTGAGTTGATTGTAATTTGTAAACTGAATTTGAAAGATAGTGAATGGGGAGTCACTCTTGTGTTAAGAGTTGACTGAGAACTAGATGTAGGGTTGGCTATACCTGAACCAATATAAATCTCTGTGTGCTCTTCTCTTTCCCTTATCCTTTCCTGATTATTATATTATTGCTTCCGCTTTAACAAATTATTGACTCAACTAAATTTTTAATTTGACATCTATTTTAATTTGTGCATCTATTCACCCCCCTCTAGATGTCATTTGTCTAACAAGTGGTATCAAAGCTTGGTTAGATAAGATATTTCTAAACGATCTGTCAAGATGTCTATGCAAAATCAAGTTTACAGGGAAATAGCCTCAATAAACAGACCACCATTATTTGAAGGAGAAGACTATCAGTTTTGGAAGGCGAGAATGACAATATTTTTACAAACACTAGATTATGGTGTTTGGGATGTTGTACTCAATGGTCTCTACATTCCGATGAGAACAACGGAGTCTGGAGCTGTTCCAAAGACTTTTGATCAATGGACGCCGGGTGAAAATAAGCGTGCCCATTATGATGTAAGAGCTCGAAATGCTATTGTTTTTGCCTTAACTCGTAATGAATTTTTCAGGGTCTCACAATGCAAGACGACAAAAGAAATATGGGACACTCTTGAAGTAACACATGAAGGAACAAATGAAGTAAAACGAACACGTAAAAACACACTCATCCAGGAGTATGAATTATTTCAAATGCAACAAAATGAAATTCAATCAGTTTTGAGAAAAGAATTCTGAACGAGGCAACAAAGATATTTTACACCTTTTGAGAAAACCCTCTTCTCTACTGCCTTCTGTGTTTTCATTGTTAATCACACTTGTTCTTGGAGATTGACATTCTACAGACTTCTACAATTTGTTGTCTCCATTACCCAGGTGTATCTGTTCTTATTTTTATTACCTTCATCCTTTTTGCATTGGTGGAAAAACAGGTGTTTTTCATCCCTAATGTGATTCTAGGGAGGGGTTCATCCTTAGTGGGATTCTAAGGAGGTGTTTTTCATCCTTTGATTTGTTTAGAGGAGGTGTTCATCCCTAGTGAGATTCTAGGGAGGTGTTCATCCTTAGTCGGTTTCTAAGGAGGTGATTGTCTTTTTAATTAGTTTACTTTTTACTGGTTCTTCTACTGAGTTGATTGTAATTTGTAAACTGAATTTGAAAGATAGTGAATGAAGAGTCACTCTTGTGTTAAGAGTTGACTGACAACTGGATGTAGGGTTGACTATACCCGAACCAGTATAAATCTCTGTGTACTCTTCTCTTTCCCTTATCTCTTTCTCCTTTCCTGATTATATTATTGCTTCCGCTTTAACAAATTATTGACTCACAAATAAATTTTTAATTTGACATCTATTTTAATTTGTGCATCTATTCACCCCCCTCTAGATGTCATTTGTGTAACAATTATGTGAGGTTAGTGTGGTTCCTATGCTTGTGTAGACTCAATGAGATCTTAAGTTTTATTGATAACCTCAATCAGGTAGATTAATGTATTAGTTGAAGATGAGCTGAGATTATTGATGATTTGTGAAAAGAAATGTATCATATATGATATAATATCGATTGCAATGTAACCTTAGATATTATAATCTAAGTTTAGAGCATAATATCATTCTTCTAAAAAATGTTTATATGAATTGAATGTAACATGTGCATGATATGATACGATATAATTGTGTAATAATAGATATGTAATAGATTCTATTAATAATTATTTTTTGAATAATTAATTTATTCTTATTTTTTGTTTATATGACTTAATTTATATGATTATGTTAATTACATGAAAGCCTATAACATTAAAGATAAGAAGACTATATATGCACAATATATTTAATCTAGGATAATAATAATAATAATAGGAATAATAAATAAATAAGTTTCTATACTAATAAAAATAATTTTTATATTAAATACTAATAAAATATATTACGTACTTTCAATATAAATTATTTTTCAACTATATATAATAATAACAATTTTTAGGACAGTTATACCATTAATGATAAAAAAACTGGAGTTGAGAATAGGTGACAAACAACAATTCATACAGAAATACATGATTTCTTATTTATCGGATCAAAGAACAATTACAGTATAACGTGTAGTTAGCATTTCATAAGGAAAAAGAAAGAAAGAAAGAAAGAAAACAAAAACTAATATTTCTTACAAAATAAAACATTTAAAAAAATAATCGATCTGATATCATATATTAAGGATTAGAAAGAGTAGTAGTATATATTCATAATAATTTTGAATGTGTATTATGAATTAAAATACTAATAATTAAATAACTATCATTCAAATATTTAATATTTTAAAATAAAAATATATGACTAATAATTATACTTTTAAAAATCTTATATATCAATTTGAAATAATAAAATCATAATATTTAGTTTATTGTTAAGATTAAATTTATTCTGCTTGTATCCTATTCTTAATTTATTTTCATATCCTATCATATCAAATTCTAATTCTCAGCACCAACTTTGATCGAGTAATTAATAAAATAAATAAATAAATAATAAAAATGTATAGTTATAACTTATATAAAATAAATACTTTAAAGGGAATATAAATATGAAAATTAATAAAATCCTACCATTTCAATTGATTGTTTGATGGGGAAATACCCCAAACAAGAGGGATGTTTTGAATACAATTTATTTATTTATTTTTTCTAAAGACACACTAATTATTTAAATCTTAAATTTGTATCTTTCATGTCTTACATAAAATAAGTATATTAAAATAAATAAAGTTTCAAAAATAATAAAGACTAGTTTTTCTAGATGACATGAATCGCTTTTAATTTCTTCTTCATTAAACTTTTTTTTCTACATTTAGAAAGAAGAGGAGGAAAAATTATGATGCTTCTTCATTTATAATATTTGTCTCTTTTTGAAAAAAGAATGTATATATTCTTATGAAGCTTCCCCTTTAGTTTTAATTTTTTTTTATATTTTAGTTTTTATTTACTGTTCTATTGGATGAACAACACTTATATGATTTCCATTAGGTTCAAAAAGTTATATCCTTCTATATTTATAAATATATAGTTTTAAATGTGAAATTTTTTTCATAAAAGAATGTCTCACAAAAGTTTAGTTATATCTTTATACAAATTTATCTCATAAAAAATATTATTTTTATATACAGAGTATTAACACCAAATTAAATAACACTCCTTTAAAATATTACCATAAAATCTTCCTAGATATTATATATACAGTGGACTGTATTATTTTTATATCTCATGAAAATTTCAAATATTTAACAAATTTGTATATAATAATTTTGTTAGTATATTCTAAGAATGTTGATGAAAATTGTTAGTATATTCTATAATTGAAATTACTGTAATATTATACATCAAGAAAGAATAAGTGAAAGTGTATGTTTAGAAAAATTCTAAAGGAAAGTTTTCCAGCATAAAATGTACAATAATTGTGAACACCCGTTCACCATCACGAGATATCTGTCCTTAGAACAGAAAACGAGTTTGACAAGCTGCCCTAAACACCAAGTTCCATGTTGTCTTCTTCCTTTTTGCCTCTGAACAGCATACTTCTTCGTCTTCTGAAACGCCTTTATTGTAATGGTTATCTGCAATATCCAGCACATGATTTTCATTTTCACCAGAGGTAACATCAAGATTCAAATCCAGATAACTATTCTGATCCATTTTATCTTCCTTGTCTGCGACAAACGTTTTATCACTAATATTGTCACAATGACTATCTATACTGTCATATGCTGCACTAGAAGTTACAGGGCGAGACTCAGACTGCACTATCTTCGAAGTAATATGACTATTAGGACTACTAGGTGTGTTTAAATTTGACCTATCCTTGGTTCCTACACAGCCAGTTAAGTTATCCCTTTCTTCACAATTCTTGGTTTTGTAGATATCTTTTTCAACATCTGATTTATCTATGCAAACCTCATTGGCATTGGCGGAAACCATTCCACAATCTTTATTTGCCCACACCTCAATACCATGTGATTCTCCTTCTAATGCTTCAAGCAAATTATTTAGCTCATTTCTAGTATATCGAAGCAGAACAAATCTTTTGTCCATTCCGCATGAGCAGAACAAATTAGCATGCTTAAGACAAGAATATCTGCCAGGAGAGCACTCACATCCCACAGCAGATAGGTGCAAGTCATAGAAGCAAGAGAAGCATTCTCTTTCCGTGTACAAATCAAAGTCACTGTTCATCTTGAGAACCTTAAGATGAGTTGGAAGGCAATCTAGCTTTTCTTCTTCCATCTTTATCCTTGCCTATCACCAAAAACGTAACAGAGGAAATAAGTACAGGATAAAATATTTGCATAGTAGCTGAAACTTTAAAACCAAAACTTAATGGAGCTTTCAGAATTTGTTGAAGTAGGTACTATCAAGTGGAGAGGGTGAGAGAATCATTACCTTAACTGCCTTGGGAAGATCTCCATCTTTCCCACAGACACTTCTCCATTTCAAATTTTTTGGAGATTCATTTCCAAGAGCTAGTTCTGTAATGGCCCGTCCTGCTTCCAGTGCAGATCGAAATAACACCTTGTCATGGGACAAGGATGTTTTTCGGCATTGTAAACTGTAAAGTTCGACAGCATTCTGTCCATGCATTAACCAATCAATAGGAGCCACATTCACTGCCTCTGCACAGTTGAAGCCACAATTGAAGCCAGCATGATATGCCCTTGGAAAGGTAATAACAAATTCCCCAGAATGCTGAACTGCGCGATACACAGGCACTCCCTCAGATTTAAGAATTGAAGGAGAAAACTGGGTAACCTGCTCAAAGACGAAAATCAAAACCATTACTATCATAATACTTCTCCGTACAAACAGTGAAATTCCAATAACTTGAAATACAATAACCAATGAGTGAATGCAACAAAGAAGTACAAGTGGTAGCATTATACCAGTTCATTTAATAGATTTGGTTGTTCCTCGAATAAATGTGGTAAGTGCTTCCTCATAGCATTTTCAAGGTCTGGAGCATGGCTTCCAGGTACTCCATACCATACTTTTGAGTCACCCCAGTGCAAATAGTTCAGTGAATAGAGGTGATGGTCCTCAACATGCTGTTCCAAAAGCAGGAAATGATGACAATGTGTTATCTTTCAAGGAAACAGTTAGGATTTATATGGAAATAAATGCAAAATTCAAGATCAAGACATATGGTTTTAGATTTATAGTACAACATGTCAAATATATCAATATAGCGAATTATAAGTGTAAACATTCGGAGGATTCTATTACATTAAATTATTTAATGATGAAGTATGTACCAACCCACTTCATTATCTATTACTTCTACTTGTTTATTTTGCCACGTCTAACTAAATGAGAAATGATCTAAACTAAATTAACAGATGTTAAGATTTTAAGTAAACTTACATGAAAAATAACTAAAACTTTTCGCATCATGTCATGACAAAAAATTGGTAATATTCCATTTGATGTCTTAACACTTCACCTTATTCATAAATTCAGTGTTGGAAAAAATTTCAGACTACTTACCCAGCAAAATGATGAAAAACACATGCCAACATACAGCCATGGCACTAGAACTCCTGATATGTCACTTCCTTCGTAGCTTAGCAAAGAACCTGGTAGTCGCGGGAAATTGTTCAGATTCCAACCAGACAGTACATATTGATCTGAGTCACTCGTAGTTATGGATGATGCCTTAGGAAAACCACTTCCAAGTGATCCAGTTTCCAAGTCAGCTCCATAATACACCTGCAATATAACACAGTGACATATATAGTGTTTGCTTAGTTACGTGGCAATAAAGACTAATGTAGTAGTCAATAGACAATGTTTAATACCTCAACCGGATCACTTGGTTGCTCAATTATTCGCCAGTATTCACCTTCAATTTCCTCCTCAGAGGGCTCCCATCTTGTCTGATGGTTACTGTCACTATCTATTCTGTCTCCATTGGCATCTTTCAAACCAAAATAGGATTCCTTAAAAAAATTAGCATATTTCTGAAAGTCTTTAAGCGTGAAATCTGATCCTGATTGAAATCCGAATTTCTCTTCACAAGCTGCATTAGCAGGCTTCCTCTTACATGTGCCTGCTCTGGAATGCTTTCCACGTTTTCGCTTCCTTCCCCTACATTTTTTCCTCATAGGTGCCCTATTTTGAAGCAAATCAATTTGCTGAATACGGGTGGCAAATGCAGCATTGTCCCATACATCTTTCTCCTTAATAGGACAGGGTGGAACCCAGCAAGCTGGAGGAGCAATCCTACATATGCCATAGGGTTCAGCGAAGGGTCTTATTTTTTCTATGTAACTGAGTGTGTCTTCAAACTCCTAATTAAAAAGAGTAACAATAAGAAAACAAATTACTCAAAATATAATATTAAAATACCACAAATGTGAAAATGGCTATAATAATAACAAGTACTTCAATAGTCGGATAAAAAACTGGTGCTTCTTGAATTATAGGTCGACATGCTCCAACCGGATTCCATCGAGCTGATATCTGAAACATAGCAACAACAATCCAACTTATTAAAAAAATAAAACAAATATCCTCCCTCTCTCTCTTATACATAGTCATTAATGGTAGACTTTCATTGCACTATTTTCTTTAATATGATAAGCAATATGTTTGAAAAACGGAATTTACTCATTGACTTAATTGATATTTCATTACACTTTCAATAAGATGGGTATTAGATTATTGAAGTTGGACTCAATAATGGTTATCTAGACAATTATAGATTGCTCAAAAGAAGACCAAGGAAAATACAAAGTATTGTTCATGGACCATTAAAGCATTATGCATTATCACATTATAAGACCATATTGCATACCTTTCTATTTCTCAGACTGTCAGAAGACTCAAGTGCATTGTTATTTTTTGACTTGTTCTCCAAAGGGTTATCCTGAAAAATATGTAAGATTGATAAAGTTGTTAAAACTAGCAGCCTCAGTAAAAGTAATCAAAAGAAACCAATATCACTGGTGTATGCAAAAGTAAGTCATCATCACTTAATGAAAATTTTCTAATGTTCCCAAACCCAATGAAAGAAAGAAACCATATAGCTTACAAATACATATTAAGGGTCAAGGTATAGAAAAGTTTTAAGCCATTACTATATCAAGAAATTAACAATTCAAATCATCCTTCTGAGCAGCAGAAGTTACTTCATCCACTAAAACAATTGTTCTTTGAAGTGAACATACAATGTTATAAGCAGAACAAGAAAACAAAAAACAAGGATAATAAGATCATAACCAGCAATTGTGATATATAAAAACAGAATAGAAGATTCGAACAGAGACGCCGGATAATAAAATATTCCAAGCAAGCTTCAGAAACAAATGAGTGTGAACATTGCTAGGGTTTGAAAATCTAACCTCTTTGGAGTCAGAATTTGTATCCAATTTCAACAGCTCCATTGAATGCAATATTTTGATAAGAAAAGGCCAATTGAATAATAATGCCTGCAACAATAATAATCCGAATACTTTTCAAAATATTCCATTTAATTCCCTTTACTATTTTACTTAAAACGAAGACAATTAAAACCATTATTATTATTGAGGATTCATACACATTATAAACACTTAAATTTTTTATGTTTTCAGATTATAAAAACAATTAATTAAAAATGATATAAAAATCAACAGATATAAAATTGTATTATATATATATTAGGAATCAAAAGATAAGTTTTATAACTATGAAATAAGTAATTAGATAATCGTTTTAATCATGACTTAATGTGCTTTAATATAAAATTTATATTGTTAATCAACCAATTCAATTTTTTTTTTGGAATAGTGAATATATATATATATATATATATATATATATATATATAACCCACAAATATGCTAGTGTTTAATTGTATTTGTTACTGTATGAAATTATTATACCCTGGTATACCTTGATACGGATGTTAAATGTTATTGGATATTTTTTTAATTTATTAAATTAATTAATCCTAATAAAAGAAATTAAAGTACATGTTTATTGAATTATTCATACCTTATTTAAGTTTGAGTGTGAATCCCTCACCGATCTAATTGAAGAAGAGAAATGAAAAAAATAGAGGGGAATGAAAAGGAGAAAGTGAGAAATGAAGACAAATCAATAGAATATTTATAGTCGACGTTATTGATTTGATAGAATAAAATTTTAAATTAACTAGATAATAAAATGAATTAATATTATATTTTTAGTTAAGATTTAATAAAAATGATAATTAAATATAAAACAATTATTTTTTAAAATTATGGATAATGTTAAAAATTTATTTTAAAAAAAACAAATAAACCAATAGAAAATATAAATAAGATAAATTTAATTATGATTTTATTTTTCAAAATTGAGGATAATTTTAATTTAGTCTCCTAAATTGAAAAAAAAATATCGATCTGATATCATATATTAAGAATTAAAAAGACTAGCAATATATTCGAGTTAAATAGCAATAATATAACGTACAAAATTTTCTGTGTCATAATATTCATAATAATTTTGACGTTAGAGTGTACTATGAACTAAAATATTAATAATTAAATAATAATCATTTAAATTTTTTAATATTTTAGAATAACAGTATATGAATAAGAAGTATAATTTTACAAATTTTATATTTTAATTAAAATAAATAATATATTCATGTGCATGTATTTCATCCAAATTTTTTTAAGGATAAGTTTATGTTAAAAATATTATTTTTATTATCTTTTATTTAAATTATATATTAATAAATTTTTATTATCTTTTGAGAAAATAAAAAGATATTAAGTTATTATTTTGATTTAGACAATAATAATTGAGACATTAATATTATTTGATATTTTGTTATATTTTTACTCTATATATAAATAATTACATTAATAAACTATATACCTTTACTAAATATATTAGAAATACAAAAAATTATTCTCATAAGTTTATTTCTTTTCAATAAAGAACTTATTGTCTACAAGTGAAATAAGCCACAACCATGATTATATGTATTATCCTATTTATTTTGATCGACAGTGTCTTTTAAAATGATTTGGTTAATATAGTCCCAAACTATTTCATATATATACAAAATATGACATGTATTCTTTCTTATATTTTTCACTCTTGAAATAAGAAGTTATGACCACACAAATTGTATAATTTATATTTATATTCAACGGGATAATAAAGGATTTGAAATGGGACTCTACATAGGATACAAAAGAAAAAGTTGTCTACTACGAAACTGAACCGACATGTTTATTCATGTTTCTATGATGAACACAGAAAATATTGCAGTATATATATAAGCAAGAAAAACATTTGTTGTATAGTGATGTGTGATGTTATGGAGAAGCATGGTTAATACGATTTGGCTTGAGCAATTTGATGATGGACATCACTGAAATAATGAGGAGGAGAATGAAGCCAATGAAAGAGGCAATAAGGGCAGCACCACTTCTGTTGCAGTAGGTCTGGAATTTGTCGCATATCTTATCCCATCTTGCATGTGAATTACCATTTTTACCCAATTCAGACATGAATGTTGCTGCACCATCTCCAGCTGATGCAAGAGCCATGGCCATCTTCACCAAAATAACAACATATTATAAACTTTCATTTTAATTTAATTATTATAAATTACATAATTAAGGAGACTGAATTCAACACCACTTGTATTGATGGCATGTTAATAAAATACATAATAATGATTTGTAGTTAAATACATCAATATAAAACCTATTCTTTCATGATAATAATGGAAAGAGATCTAATTAATTTAGGTGTAATTTTTATTTAACTTAATAGAATTTGTAAATATTAGATTTCGTTAATCTAATTGTTACATTAAGAGTTGTTGATTTAAGTTTGCAAAAATTAATATATAATTTTGAAAATTATTTCATCAATTAATCTTATTTTAATGTGTATAATACTATGCTTTTTAAATATAAATAAGCGTTAATTATAAATTTACTTAGTATGAATTTTTAATTTATCTAAAATTTAGCGTGCATGTATAATCGTGAAGATGATATATATCATATAACTTAATATTTTGATTTGTAAATTTTTATTCTAGAAAAATTATTGATTTTACCAATTTTATATCACATAAATAATTTTAAATTATATGGCATTGTGGTCTAGAATTATTAAAAAAAAAAAACTCTCAATCTAAGAGTTGGATCAATAAAAAAAATGTCTATAAAATTTATATTAAATAAAGTAAATTATATGAAATTCTTATATTCTTTTCAATTATCATAATATTGATTATAGTAATAATAAGAAGAAAATTTTTATCTATCAATATATATTCTATAATAATATATATAGAGTGATATATATTTTTTATGTATATTTTTTAAAACATTTTTATTCTTATTTATTTAGTTTTAAAACTAAGTAACTATAATACTTTTATTTTTTTTTATTTTTTTTATAAACAACTTTAAAAAAAGAAAACACAAAACGGTAACACTTTTAAATAATTATATTTAATTTGTAACTTTTTATACACTATTTTCTATGTATCTTTTCTCTTTAAAAATAAAATTAATAAATTTTAAAAAATCAAACTTAATAAAAATATACAAAAACTGTAATATTTTGATTAAAGGTAAGGAAAATAATTATTTGAGAACTAGGTATAAGAATATAGAAATAATTGACAACTATTTTTATTAAAATATTATATTTATAACTATATATAAATTATTTGTTTAACTATTTATTTTTTTATCATAGATGAGAAAAAAAAGATTTAAAGAAAAATAGTTATTACAATTTATATATTTAAAAAATAAGAAAAATATAAGAAAAAAATATAACATATAATTAATAGAAAAATATATAATCAAAGACAAATAAAAATAATAATATTTAAAATAAAGTTTTAAAAACATCAATTATATATATATATATATATATATATATATATATATATATATATATATATATATATATATATATATATATATATATATATATATATATATATAATCCGAACACTTTAGGGTTTACAGATTACTATAAATGATTTTCAAATGACATAATTTTATTTTATCATTAAGATTAATTATGAATAAATGTACCATGTCTAATATTGCAATCAGCACAAGCCTTAGTCCTTTGTAATCATATTGTGGTCCAAACACATCCATTGCTATCATCACCAAGTTATGCAGAGTAGCATTTGCATTGGCTACAACAAAGAACCTGCATCACCACCACCACCACCACCATGTTCTCATCATGATAATAATGCATTTGTAAAGACATGGTCAACAAAACACTTACACAAAAGCTGGGGTTTGGTTAAACTTTGCAGAAAGAGTTGCTGTTATTGGGGTGCTACCAACGGTGGCAACTACGAAGCTTTTGGTCTGTTTGTTGAGAGCCATGACAAGTGTTGCAGATGCAGTGGCCAAAAACGCAACCATTCTCAGGGACAAAACAACCCAATCTTTCTTCTGTGGCTTTGTTTTTGTCTCTGGAGTTGCACTCAAACCAACCTCAACTTTCTCTCCATTTTCTGAGGCCATTCTGCAATCAATAAGCACTGAGAAAATGGTGTATGTGATGTGATGTGATGATGGTGGTGCAGATTATTAGAGAGGGTTATTATATAGATTGGGACAGTGAAATTGGTCAACCATATCATTTGTTAAGTCTAAGAAGCTAAGTTAGGGTTCTTTCTCAGGATTTCTTGGATGGTGTAACCAACAGAAAACTTCAGGTGGTTGCTGGTTGGTGAAGAAATGTATACTAGAAATTGCATCAAAATATTCATTTAACTTTCACTTTTTCAGGAGTAACATTTTTTTTCTTCTTCTTAAAGAGATATTTTAAAAACTAATTCAATCATTAGCTTAAAAAATGAACTCGATTATATGAAAAGAATAACCTTAACAAGATCTATAAGAACTCAATTTAAAAAAAATAATTCAATTATTTACTTCAATGTAAACTTTTATCCAATATTATTCTTTTCATTCTAAAGTAAGTGTTTATATTTTTCAAAACTAGTTGGTGTTATTTTTTTTTTCAAATGTTTTGGTCTTCGTTATTTTAAAATATTATTTTTAGTTTTTTTTTTTTAATTTGAAGTACATTACTTTTAGTCCATCAAATGTTATTAAATTACTTTTCTTTAGTTAAGCGTAAATGTATGACTTTAAAGAATCCAATATTTCATTTTGAAATTAAAAAAAAAACTAATAATTTTTTTTTATAAGAACTAAACTTATTTAAAGGGATAGAAACACATTTTACCTTCGAAAAATAGTAGCATTTAAGAAATAAGAAATATTCAACTACAATAATTTATATTAAAATTTTCTCAATATTTTAATTATTAAATTATTTTTATAATTTAAAATGTATTTTTTTGGTTAATTTTTGAATGTTAATAAATAAATAAATTTTAAATTTTCTTTTTTATTATTTATAACTAAAAATTTTATACACCATAAAAAATAAATTCACCCTTTCTAAATAAATTATTTTATGACTTTTCATTATTTTTTCAACCACAAAATGCTCCATAAGTTATTTTAAGTAGTTTAAAGTTTCTTGTGATGCACTAAGAAAACTAAGTAGGTGTTGGTTTAGTACAGTCGAAATTGATAAATTTTTTATTTTAAGAAATAAGTTGTTCTTCTAAATCTAAAAATTGGAGTCATAGTTATTTTTGAAAGTAATTGTTTTTTCAGTTACAACTTCATCATACAAATTTTCTTACATAAAAATTGTTTTTTTTTTCAAGCATATGGATTGATTTATATCATTTTATAATGATATAACACTTTCTCTCCATTTGTTTTTTCTATATTCTTTTACCATTCTTTTTTATATAGTTATATATTTATAAAAAAATTAAATATAAGAGAGAATTTAAAGAGAAGTGTGATTGAAAAAAAAAGAAAAAAATATAAAATAAATAAATTTTGTATATAATGATAAAAAATATTATTTTTTATATATAAAAGTATAAATCCACAATTAAATAATTATGGTTGAAAAATGAAAGAGGGTAAATGAATTCTTATTAACTTTCTTTCCTATTATTTATCTAACACCACTTTTTTTTCTTTAATTTATTTCTTTATCTATTAACCCAAAATTATTAAAATTCATCCTATTTTAAAATTTGTCCATTTAACTTAAAAAAAATGTTTTTGAAGAATTTTTTATTGGTTAAAGTTTATTAAATATTAGAAAAAATATTTATTAATTATCAAATGTGACTTCTCAAATTTTAATAAATTTCTTCTCAATAAATTCGGGTTAATTCCTCGTCAATAAATAAATAATTGGGTTAATTTTGTTTTTAAGAATAATAATTAGGTTTAAAAGGCACAAAAATAATCAAGATTGAACTTGAAAGTTGGATAAAAAAGAGAAATATTTGCTTTGACAACTTCTTTTACTAAATATAATACCATAACAACTAAATATGTTAATATAATAATATTATTTATTATTATATTAACATTTTTAAGTTGATAACTGCTTCTAAATTATATAATAATATTATTTATTATTATATTAACATTTTTAAGTTGTTAACTGCTTCTAAATTAATCAGCTTGTATATAAGCAAACCAAGACTTGAATTTGAAGAGCAAATCAAATATTGAGTGCCAGAGGAGCGGCGAGCTTTCGTTCGATCGCGATAGTTGAGTTCAGAAATTCTAATCTCAAAGGACATTCCAATCGATTCCTCTTCTCATATCAACGTGTTCTCATTCCATCGCTCTATTGCATTTCATTGCAGGTATTCTTATTCTTTATTTCTTTACAAATTTTTGCGTCTCACCACCTTTAATTTTATTTTTCTTTAATTTTTCTACTATTATCATTATATTTTTTGGGATTTCTTGATAATGTTTATATTTTCTTAGAACATATTTTGGATGAGTTTCGCGTTTCAATTGTAAAGAATAAAGATTTCAGGACAGGGGCATGTATCTTGTTCCGAGTTTTCTGTTTTGCGGGTTGGAGATTGAAATTGTCTACATTATGTTGCATAAAGATGTTAAAAAATTGATGACGTTATGACTTTGCAGTTATGAGGAACGAACTTGTGTGTACTGGGTGTAGGAATGTCATGGAGTACGCTAGAGGAACAGCGGAACTTCGTTGTGGATTGTGCAACACCGTAACCCGTGTTCCTCCTCCTGGTACGCCTTTTTCCCTCTTTAATTTTATAAGAATTGAAAGACTTTCTTGCTCCATGGCTAGTAGGTGGAGTTAGTTTTACCGCTCACTTGGATTAAGTGCAATAAGCAATCTTTGGTGTGTGGAATATGGGCGATTAATTAACTCAATGATGTCATTGTTTTGCTCTATATCTCTCTTGCACGAATACTTCAAATTCAGTGATGAATTGGTTGTTTGTAGTTGAACTTTAACTGGATGGTTACATTTCGGAACCTTTGATTTACTGAACTGATGTCCTTGCAGGAATGCAATTGTCCCAACTTTCTTGTGGAGGTTGTAACACAGTGTTAATGCACGCCCGTGGTGCTGCATATGTGAGATGCACCAGATGTCAAACTATCAATCTTGTATCCGGTACAATATTTTTCTCTATTTTTTAATTAGCAAAGCTTTTTATTGCTATACTAAATATTTGCTATACAAGTATTTGCTGTACAAATATTTGAACTATTGTCAATTATGGATAGACAAATTGGTGGATGATCATGAATGACTTTTATACCTCTAAGCAATAGTTGATGCAGAAAAAAAAAGAACTCTTTGGGCGTTAACTTTAGATAATGTACGGGTCCATTTTACCTTGGACTCCAATTCAGTTTTATCTGGAAGAATGTCAGTGGTAGTAACTTACCCTTCATTACCAATTCTCCTAAAACCTAAGGAAGTTATATCTCATGAATGATTATCTATTAAATTCAGACGTAAGCACAAAAAATATTCATCAAACTAGTTATGTAGTACAGGAAAATTAAAACCCATGACTATCCATTCTCCTAAAAGCCTGAAGTAGTTATGTTTCATGAATGGTTATCTAATAAATTCAGAAATAAACATAAAAAAAAATCCATCAAACTAGTTATCTAGGTATGGGTAAATTAAAACCTTGTGGCCCTCTATAGCTTTTATTTCAATTTAATTGAATTTCTTTTTGCTAAATGTCATATAATAATAATAATAATAATAATAAAATGCCAGAAAGTGATATTAAATAAATAGTATGGGTCCGATTCCCCAAGGAACACCTAATGCCAAATTTTAAGTTTTGAAAGTCTTAATTTCCGTAGTTAAGCCAATTTTTCTTGTCTCCTTATCATTTCGTAGAACCTTACTTTCAATTGTAACAACTCTTTTCAAAACCTTTTGCTGACACTAATCCCTGAGCATTAGCAAAATGACCAGATGACAAGGAAAAATTAATTTGTGCTAGTTTTGACATAGAGTTGATGCTTATCAGCCATTAATTATACTGTATAAATAAATTGAGGTCAAGAGAGGACTAGTATGCACCTTTACTTTTTTTTTTCTTAGAATAATATTTCAATCAAATTAAATTAATTATCCAAATCAGCTTGATGCAAGGAATTTCTTGTTGCAGGCAGACCATGAAATGGGAAAAGACTATCAACCTGGATATAAATATAGCTCGAAACCTGGATTATTATTAATTTGATTCGGTCAATCCTTGATGGAAGTTTATATTCACAAATGTTGTCATCATAATTATTAAGATGTGAAAATAGGTTTAATTTAATGAGTTAATATGAAATGTTTGAAAAATATGTTAAATTAAGTTAAAAAATTTATTATCTAAATAAAAGTAGGTCAATTTTGGCCTAATATATTTAGGTGATGATTTAATTAAGTTTAAGTCATACTAATTCGTAAGTTTATAAGACTAATTTTATAAAATTATTATTATTTAAAAAAATATTAGATTAATGATGTTTATGATGTATATTTAACAAAAAATTTATGTGTTATTTAATATTTATGGTATGATATATGGACAATTATAATACGATTAAAATTGGAAATTAAATAGTAAGTTATTTTTATTTTATGATATTATAAGCTTTTTATCTAATATAAATTGTTTACTTCCAGAAAATTTACAATATTCAAGTTCATTGGAACTCATGATATATCATTTAATATTTTATAATATTTATATTATGTAAACTTTAATTATTTAATATTATTTATTATCAATTATAGATATAAAAGAAAGGAATATTTTATAATTTTATACGATAAAGATTTGTATAATAAGATTTGTGTAAATAGGTTATGAGTTAATTTTAAATAAATAAATGAATAACATAATATTTTATTTAAATAAAATTAAAATATTTAAAACATATTTAATATATTTTTAATTTTAATTAAATAAAAAATATATGCTAACATAAGATCAAGTTAAACAAAAATTTTTAATATGTTTTAAAATATAAATCTGACTAGATTGTTAGATTTTTTTTTTTTACTTGACCTATAGGATCAAGTCAAATTAAGCCATTTCAACAGTCATTTTAGAAATCCCTTTAGCTTATTTTATTGTAGACTCTTTAGAAAGAACCTTAAAGTAGTGGTTAATTTCACAATAACTACATGTATGACTTACATAGTGATTGTAAAGCTTAAACACTTGTAATAACCTTTTTAGTTTTGTATAATTAAGATACAACTGAAGTCGTAATTGTAAGAATAATTTTTCTTTTTTTAAGTGTAATCTTAATGCTTATTAATCAATCATTTGCTTAAAATGTATACTGATTTATTGTTGATGATCTGTTTCTTCTCCAAAAAGAACCTCATCAAGAGTTCCAACTCCGTTGTGCAAACTGCCAGAACATAGTCATGTATCCTCCTGGAGCTCCCTTTGTCCGATGTCCAATTTGTAACAATATTACTAATGTGGCAGGCCCTTCAGGCTCTTCCTAGGTTTCATATCTTGTACTTTTCAGTCTTTGCAAAACCTGAAATGTTCAACGTAACACAATAAAAGTTGTTAATATGCAGATATATCGTATTCATATGTTTGATGACTTTTTCAATTATTATCAACTCTACTAAATAGCTAGGCAGTTTGGTGGAGGATCATAAATCACTTTTATATCTTTCAGATTTTTTTAATGTAAGAAAAGAAAGGTAAGTCAAGATTTATATATTAAAATAAAAAAAAGTATAATTTAAAATGTTATATTTTCATTATTGAAATATATATATATATATATATATATATATATATTATAATATTATAATTTAAATAATAAATATTAACAAATTAAGGTTGTGTTTTTTAAAAAATATATAAAAAAATTATATATATAAAAAAAAGACTTTTGGTAGACTAGCTTTATACGCTGTAAATAAAAATTGATGACTTTTGTATACTGCCTGTATATCTTGAATTTGGATCCTTCACAACAAAGGACGCACCAAGTGAGTAAATGTAAATACTGTCCATAGGTGAGAAAATGTTAATGGCTTGTAACAAATCAATAGCTTCTTATCTATGTAGTTGTATTTTAACCTTTGCAAGTCTCAATTACTTTTCCCATCCCTTGTCTCATGAATACATGAAAAAATTAGCTTTAACTATACAAATTGACACTGCCAAATGTTTCTAGCGTTAGGTGTTCCATGAGGAATCTAAACATAAGTATTTGTGACAATTTATTAATGTTATATGAGATTTAACAAAAAGAATTTGAATTAAAAATTAGAATGAAAGCTATGGAAAGCCACAAAGTTTCAATTTTCTTGTACCTAAAGATTTGATGGATATTTTGTGTGTTTACTTTTGAACAACCAATTCATCACTGGTTTTGAAGGATTCGTGGACAAGATATAAAGCAAACAATGGCATCACTGGGTTAAATAATCACCTATAATATTCCACACATCAAAGATTGTTTACACCACTTAATCCAAGTGACATGAAAATCTTTTGTTGCATTGCATGAAAATCCAACTAATTTTTCTATCATAGTGCCTTCTGCTTCTATCATAACCAAAAGGGCTTCATGATGGGTTGGTGGGTGTTGTGTACGTGGATAAAATTCATGTAGGATTGCATGAAAGGATCGAGAAAGAAGGAAGAGGAAAAGAAAACAATGATAGATGTAGATGGAAGCATGAAAAACTGAATATTTTGATAAGTGTATTACAATTACAGGGTATACAAATACTGCAAAGGCATAATAACGGCTAAAAAAATTAGTTGTTATACATGACTATATCTAATAGCTTCTATCGATTACCAATGGAAGGCTTCCAATTCCCGTACGGAGACCAAATATAACAGTTTCTTCTACTTTCATCACTATGCTTTTCTCTTTTCCTTTTGGTGATTCTGTTATTCCTATTGTTGCAGTCTTCTTATGATATCTTATGCATGATTCTATTACCTGCAGTCAATGCCTCATTCTCAGAGCCAAACTGTCGTATTAGAAAATCCTATGTCTGTTGATTCGAGAGGAAATTGGTAACAACTATTGCTTTTTTTGTTGGTTAGTTTTTGATGCATATTTGACTCAAAGTATGTATTTTATCCATGAGGATGAGACTTGTTATTTTAATCCCTACTCAATGTCTGTTCATTTTTATTCCCTACTTATATTTGTTCATTTTTTATTCTTAAACACTACATTAGTTTTTAAAACACTCACTGGTGACTGAAAACACTTTCTTTTAATAGTGTTTAAGGATTAAAAATATATAAATTTAAAATATACCAATTGAAAGAAATTGTTGGTGAATGTGAAATTGCAGCAATAGAATATCAATAAATTGTCCGTGAAAGTTAGAATGGTTTTTATTTTTATCACTCATTCTTAACGATTTCACATAACTTTAGGTTTCCTATTTGTGTAAGATGAGGAAGTTAGGGGCTTCACACCACCAGATAGAAGCAACAATTGAATTATGATGATTGCTACTACTAATTATGAGCTAATAGATAAAGATAAAGGTTATAACAAATACATCTAATTGATAACTTATTATATTACTATAATAATATTAATCATTATTGTATTAATATAATAAATTATGAAATTTAGTGTATTTTTTCATCTAATTTTTAACATTTTTTTTTCATTATCACCTTTAAAAACTCACCAAAATATTCAAATAGACAAGATGTATCCCTAACTTCTAATTAAACTTGCATAGGAAATGTTGTCATTTATCAAATAAAAGTATATGAATTGCACATAGAAAGCATGAAGGCACAAGAATAAACTAAAATTGTGATTAGTCGAATTAGTAAGATGTTGAAATTGTATAATTATTTAAACTAGAATATTTGTTTGATTATTAAACTTCAGCCGATGATTTTACTATTGACAAAATAAAAAATAAAATACGACTTTTTGGTCTTAATAGATATTTTTCTCATAGGCTTAACAAATTTTATGCTCTATTATGGGTCGTAAAATCTTTTTTTCCACCCTAAATTACGTATTTTACATACACATCCTAACCCGTCTCTAAGTGGGTTTAGTAAACAATTTTACTATTTTTGTGTAACATATTCCAATATAGTAATTTTTAAAAGGGTTTATTTCTAGAAAATTTCTAACAACAGGCCTTTGCTCTCTATCGAATGAATTTTGATCATCACTCTGAAGTTGAAGTTCAATAGTGTGGATCTGATGCCCTTATACTTATAATACATACAGGAGGAAAGTCTTCAAAGAATACAAAACCATGTACTCACTTCAGAACAGACTCTTCTTCAACAGTACATTTCAATAGTCTGGAGAATATGGAACTTTTTTTACTCGGAAAAAACAAATTAAATAAAGTAGAGAAAAAAATATAAATAAAATACCCACATACACAAATTCCCAAATTTTAATAAAAGTTTGGAGCAGTTCTTCCAGTCCAAAACTAATTTTACTAGTTCTTCATGTCCAAACACAACCGCATACACTCTGTAATTATATGAGATACCAATAATACAACTATGCATTGCTATAGTATATATTAACGATTTGTACATTATGAAAGAAACACATAGGTGAGCATGTTTAGCAGCCACATATTTATATTCTTCGAAGAGAAGCCAATCTCTTTTCAAGTTCTTCAACATCTTGGGATTCTTCTGATCTGCATCCAAAAAGAATTTTCTCTTAAAATAATAATAATAATAAAAAAAAGTGTTTTAAAAGCTTTACTGAAAGATCAATCAAGTTACCATGCAACCTATAGAAGGTTGAAATGTACCTTGGAGCAACATTTTCGGTATTCCTTGAGGCAATTCGCCCTTTTGGAGCAGAAGATAACTGGCATCATAAAAGACCAGCATCAGGCTCAACATTCAGAAAACTAATTAAAAATGAAAGAAATTAGTGCAAAGACAATATCGATTCATGTTGTGTCCGAGACCAACCTGGGATGCAATATCCACTCCAATCTCATCAAGAACCTGTTGTGAATAATGAAAATGTTAAAAAGGGGAATACTTACTTATAATAGCAGGCTGTATAATTGAGAAGTTGGTTATATATATTCACCTGGTTAGTGAGCTCTTCTGTTTCTTCCTCGGCTTCATCTTTGTCTAAAGTTTCATCAATAGATTCTGACATCATCTCAATCTGCAAATAGGATTATGGTAAGAATTTATGAAGCAAAAGAAAATATTGTCAAATGCTATGAGTGAGACGACCTTTTTTTTTTTTTTTTTTGCAAATGTTAAATGCACCCTTGTTTTGTTTTTAATAAAAATAAAAAGGGGACTCTAAAAATAATAATTTCCAGTTAATTGGAAATTTTAACAGGGTAATATTTTAAAACTAATAACACTATAGTGTTTTCAAAGAGCAACTCTTCCTAAGACAACACGAAGCTAATATTTTTCATGGTTTGTTGCTTCCTTAATCCTTGTACAATATCTACTGCCTAGACTTTATATAGTACACGAAGCCAATATCAGTTGTGTCTTCCATGTTTCCTGCACTTTTTTAGTACAACCTTCTATAGTAAAAAACTAATACTTCAATATTCATTAATAGCGACACAGATCTCCGTTAGTTTCCAGCTGAAAACTAATGACTGTCGTACACTAATTAAATTACATCTATTATAGACCTCATCGTCATTGTTTCGTTCCTACCTTTTTACCATATGCTTTTCTTCATTTCATTCAACTGTTATTTTATTATTGTTCCTGCAATAGAACTTTCCTGTTAAAATATATTATTATTAGATACTGATAATGAAATTTTTTTTTTTTTTCCTATTTAACCAACATGCTTTAGGTAGACCAAGAATGTCACCATTGAAAAAACACTGAACTGAGAATTTAAATCAACAGTAAATTATGTTGAAGTGAAAAACAGATAATTTACTTATTCAATTTTTAGTGTGCAAACCCTCTTTCATGTGATTTACTATTTTAATGCCCAGCTATTGACACCAATGGTGGTCCTTCTGACAACGTCTAACAATATTGACATATTGTTCAGCCAACTGGATTAAATGCTAAAAAATGAAGACCAAACTGGATCACAGTGTAAAAATAAAAGGCTAACACTAATGCATGAAACTTTCATGAAAACACATCATATTCTTGCTTAAAAGGGTAAATTACCGTCATGTCCAATTGTGCTGATTGCTTTTGGAATTCTTTGATCACTTTAACCTGTTTCGCTGGTGCCATTTGCTGAGAAGAGAAGATAATGTATCATTTTTAGTCATGTCTGGAAAAATTCTATCAATTTCACTGACAACAGAAAATTGCTGAGAAAGAGCTGAGTTATTTTTAACACAGAGGAGCTTATTATGCTCGGTTCACTTACTTGGCAAAGGCATACTCAAGTTCATAACTATTTGGCCTTTAGTGTTCAAGACTATATCCAGAATTAAGGAAAGGAGTTTGAATAACATAAACTGATTGCATTGCATTCCATAATTTGAGTGATATGAAGCAGAATCAGTTTGGTTAAAGATACCTTATTCATTGCCACCATTGCTTTAGTTGCACCCTTCATTCCCGTGGATATTGAAGTGCTTGCATATAATGCCTGCAAAAGCAATTTGGAAATTGTAAAACTTTAAAATCCTGTTTTAATAATAAAATAAAATAAAAAAATTGCGTACCTGTGTGTGAGTCGCTACACCCCTGATCTGAGCACGACTTCCTTGCAAATTGGTTATCTGTTGACGTAACCTAACAAGTTGTCGAGCCAAGATTTTGGTGGCAGCCTGTATCCCGTAACTTTATTATTCAGTATTTCTACGTAGCTAAATCATGAATACCAATAAAACATGTTCATACACATACAAAACACACAATAACGGTATCTTGTAAATAGTAAATAACATTACTTCTGGAGTTCAAACTAACATGGAAACACATGCATGATAAATTACTCTATTAGAGATGCTTTCATATTTTGTATTTCCTGCTTATGTACTACAACATATTACTGTAATGCATTAATTATAGCAGCTAGCCTTCGGTTAACTGTTATAAGTAACTGCTGAGACAGCAGTCAGTTATACAGCTTAACCATATAATACTTACAGACCCTGTATTGTTTCAATATCATATTATCAATAATTTGTGGACCAAATAAATACAAAACAAGCATGTTCTTATGGCTCATTAACAACTGCGGAGGAGATGCATTTAAATGAAAATTTTACCTCATTTCCTGTTTTTGCTTCTCTCTTAATCTCTGCCACCAATTTTTTTTCCTGCAATTGACAAGGTAGTGAAGCACTAAAAGGAAATATGAAACAGAAAGAAAATCACTAAGAAAGTCTCTGTGATTATGTACCTCCATCTGAAGTGATGTTATCTCTCTTTCAATTCCTACCAGAGTGAATGGAAGAAAAAGGACCCTTGTTATTTTGTAACAATACCCTTAAATGTGCATCCCAAAGATAAAAAGAATAATAAAATGAAGAGAAAAAAAACAGAGAAGTACAATACATATAAGTGCCACTACATTAAAATTAGAAAACAATATCAAATGTGAAGCCTTACTAAATCGTACTAATCTCTTTAAATGTACAGCCACACATATGATATAGACCATTAGTAACCTCAGCCTATGTTAATGTCAATGTTTTGAAAGAAATCCTTTGAAGAAGAAATATATATTTAATGTTGTTGATTTGAGTATTATTGGTCATCTTTTGTCTTGATCCTACCTATCAAGGATTTCATTAGCTTTGGGTTATTCTTTTTCAATTTTAAACATTTCTTATGAAATCAGCAATTAATAAATAGCAAGTATTAAACACATCAAGCACAAACCTCCTTTTAAAGATTAAAAGATAGATGCAGGACATTATAAAAATTGGAGTATAGGCAAGGAAACAAAAACTGATTGGTCAAAATTCAAAGCAAGGGTTTTTAAGGAAAACCATTAAAGGAAGTATAGATTACAAGAAATTACTGAGACAGAACTGTTTAGGACAAATAAAGATTAGGAGCATTGCGAAAATAAAAATTAGGAGCAAGGACAAAAATAAAGTCCAGAAACAAAAAGGTTGTTGAAAGTTTGGCTTGATTTATGTTATGTGTTTCAACCTGACTATTTTCTACTAAAAATTATCATTGACATATCAAATGGCACTACCTATGGGTCTATTGGTAGGCAAGGGAACCAACTGAAAACAAATACAGTCCTAGGATTTAAGATAATGACCTCCACAATAAATCAGTAGTATTTCTGTTTGATTCATAAAAACACTTATGATGGTTCGGAAGCAAAAGGAAGACAGTAATTAGCAACTTTTATCTTCACAAGTATTAAAAAATTGAGAAAGAATCCACTTACTCGAAGAATGAATGAGAGTTTAACACTTAGTCTTCATCCTCAAATTTAATTTTCTTGTAATTTAATCCCGTAGATGATTACCAAAAAAAATGAATGGTGAGAATGAAAAATAAGCCTCTAACTCTTAGTTTGGACCCCTATAAAAGAAATACATAAAAAGATCAACCAAATATAGTTTGCACCCGAAATTTTAGTTGTACACCTCCCATAAAGTTATTTAATACATTCTCCTATAACTATTTGATTTAACTATTAGCTCCCAGGCATCCCAACTATTTTATCAAATGAATTATGATGCCTCACACTATATACATTATATTCAAAAAGGAAATTCACTTGCATTAACACACCGTTTCCAATATTTATTTATCTGAAAACAACAAACCCACAAACATTATCTTTTATTACTCTAAACGAAATTGCCAGTGTACATGCTCTGGGTCTCGCAGCTGAACAAAATTGATTTTATTCTTGTAATTTTCTATTCCTATGAAGATCCATGTTTATTCTATTTGAGGAAAGCAAGAGTGAGGGAGAGATTCAACACAGCAGTAAGACACAGATATGACGAAGTAACATGTACTCAAGCAAACTAATTATTTCCTGTGTGTAGAAAATACGTATCTCAGTGAAAACAATCCCCATTACATTCATGAAAAGCAGATAGTAAATGCTAGAACTTCCCAATCAGCAACCATTCATTTCAAGTAATTACCTCTGGTTGCAACAGCCATTTCCCTCTTACTTGACCGCAGAGCCTCTGTCATTTAAAAAAACAAAACAGACGCAAATGAGTGCCACTACCCAGACAATAAGAAAATCAACTCTGCAACTTCCTTTCCAATTTTCATCAAACACAGACAATACCACAAAACACGGACCAAAATAAGAAGCCAATTCGATAAACTAACAGCACAAAACTCATAAATTTCAAAATTTATAAAGACCCGATTGTGTTTTCTCAACAAAAAACAGATCCAATTTAGGACACAACCACACAATTCCAACCTTTCTTCAATGCAAATTTCCCATTTTTCTATCCTACCCAATTTTCGCCCCAGCATCCAAACACTAATGAAACGAGTTACGGAAAGTTCGAATTCTGACAGCAAATCCTAAGTTTTATGAAAAAGGGAAATAAAACAATGTGAGAAATTTGAAGGAGAAAAAGAGGAAGAAAAAGGGGTGAACCTTTCGGTGAAGTTTTCTTCTTGAAGATGTTCATATTGTTGGCGTTGATCTGGGAGAGAAGAGAAAACCCTAATGGAAGAGGGAGCAGAGTGAGACACAGTGCAGTGTGTGAAGTGATTGTAGCAAAGAGAAAGGAAGTGAAGAGAAAGGAGTAAAGATGCTTCGAGGAGCGTGCCACGTGTCCACGTATCCAACGGTCGTTCTCTAAGTAGCCGTTACAGCTTTGGTTGAGGCCAGTGCAAATTGCGTTTCGAGTTTTTTATTACTTATTTAGTCTGCAAGAATGCTTTGATATCTTCTTCAACTGATACTTTCTCAATTTAATTATTATTTTTAAAGATGCTACATTTAACTATTATTTTGAAACGTATTGATAAAATGTTTTTTTTCTATTGTATAAAAATCATAATTTATTATTGTTAAATTTTATAATTATTATTTTAAATTAATTGTTAATATAAAATATCTATACTCACAAATTGAAATTAGAATATTTATATATATATATATATATATATATATATATCAAAAAATTTATAAATAGTAAAATGAAACAATCTCTCCTAAACAGCTAAAATAGATATGAATAGATTGATTTATCATATTATAAAAATTCATTTTATTAGATTAAACTAATTAGTGAATTCATCTAATAATTATATATATATATATATATATATATATATATATATTTTAAATACACTTAATTATATAAATATTTATTTATTAATTAATCTATTTTATGAGATAAATAAAAAATTAATACCTTACATCTTAAAATAATCCATTATAATAAATAACTTAACTTTAACTTATTATTTATAATTTATATTATAATATATTTATATATTTTAATAATATGAAATAAAAAATAAAATATTTTTAAATTATTATTTTTTATTTAATAATTTAATTTTAATATATATATATATATATATATTAAAAAATAAAAAAATAGGTCAATTTGACCTAAGGAACTTTATCATTCCTAACATTTTGATTTTGCACATATATCTATATTAGCTACATTTTGATCGATCTTTAATTTATAATTAATATCATTAATAATTTTAATATAATGACAATTAAACATAGCAAAGACAATACTCATTTATATATTTGAAGATATTTCCGCATATGTAATATATAATATATAAGGAGATATAATTTTTTTTTATTGTAATAGAATCTTAGTTTTTTTTTTACTAAAGTTTGAAGTAAGTGATAAACGAGTCCAACCAATATATATACACGTGAAAGCAACAGTTTTTAATTTCACCATGTTCTTAGAAAAAAAAAAGCCCAAATTGAAAAAAGAAATAGTATTTAAGATAGAAATAATATGTAATTTTGGGTGTTTAGTAGAATAAAAATAATTTGGAAATATTTATAAATATGGTGGGAACTTGTCCTATTTTATTTCTCACATACATTTATTTGTTGTTAATACTCTCCTCAGTTATTCTTCATTAATTTTAACATGCTGCTAATTTGTATTTAATTTCTTATATATTTTCATTTTCAAACCTTCATAAATGAGTGGTTTCCATTGCAATTAATAACAAGAAAAAAATATGTTTTTTTATTAGTTTTCATTCGTAATTAAATTTTATATTAAGTAAAAATATAATAATATTATAATATATAGAGAGTATAAATATTATTTTTATTAAATATTTTTTTTGGCAATTTTGTAGCTATAGGTGTCTTCAATCCTAATAATTGACATTGAATAATAAATTTCAACCTGTAAATTAATATTTTTAGAATAAGTATTTTTTGTATTTACAAACTCAACCAATAATGTTTATGTTCGAATACACAATTATATTTTTCATGAATTTTGTGTAGAGATTAGAGAATAAGAGAGGAGAAACAACAAAGTGGTAGCATTGATATAACCCATTAAATGTGATTAATATGTGGATGGATATGTTGAATCTTACATTGATTAATATAAGCATAATATGATCCGTCATTTAGGACCACATAATTTTAATCTTTTTGAATTTAGTATCTGTAACTCCTTACAGATTATATTTATTAATCCTAATTTATTATCTAAGTTAGTAATATTTTTAATATTCATAGAAGGTTAATAAAAAATATACTAAGTGAATAATTAATTAAGATAAAGTTTTATATTAAATCAATTAAGTTCTAATACAAAGTTTTCAAAATATTACAAATTATAAAGTTATATTTATATGTTATACAATTCTCAACCTAAGCTCTGAATTTTTGCATTTGATATCTATCTCTTGAACTATATATTCCTGCATCACACATCACCAAGGATTGAAATATTTATGGGGTTAGACATTTAATTTTATCCACAACAAATAAAGCAAACATTCATAACATAAAATCAACTAATGAAACATTCCTTCTAATAAGTTCATAACACTATTTAACTGATGTTGAAAGTCCGATTTTTCAAATCGAAATTTTTATTTATTTACAACCCCTTTATTTCCCCTCTCTTTTATATTATATTTTTATTATATATCATATTTTTTTGGAGTTTATCCACAACAAATAAAGCAAACATTCATAACATAAAATCAACTAATGAAACATTCCTTCTAATAAGTTCATAACACTATTTAACAAATTTTTATTTATTTCCAACCCCTTTATTTCCCCTCTCTTTTATATTATATTTTTATTATATATCATATTTTTTTGGAGTTTAAAGCATTACCAAATTAATTTTTTGACACGGATTTGAACCTAACGTCGAAAGTCCGATTTTTCAAATCGAAATTTTTATTTATTTCCAACCCCTCTATTTCCCCTCTCTTTTATATTATATTTTTATTATTTATCATATTTTTTTGGAGTTTAAAGCATTACCAAATTAATTTTTTGACACGGATTTGAACCTAACGTCGAAAGTCCGATTTTTCAAATCGAAATTTTTATTTATTTCCAACCCCTCTATTTCCCCTCTCTTTTATATTATATTTTTATTATTTATCATATTTTTTTGGAGTTTAAAGCATTACCAAATTAATTTTTTGACATCGACAAGATTCGAACCTAGTACCTTAGTGTTGGAGGTTAATACTCGCAACCACTAAACTACTCGAATTTTTTAATAGTAACTTACAAATAAATTATATTTATATACAAATAAATATATATCCGTGTAAATATATAAATATATAAATATATTTATATTTTTTGATATAATTATATATTTATATATTGGATATGAGGGCACGCTCGAAGGTGAAAGTGTGTGTCGAGTGAGTTTTCAAAATTTGATATCAAATTTGTGAGCGGGTCTCTTTATATGGATTTGTAATTTAATGACAGAATATAATATTTATAATTTATTTATATAATGATATAAAATAAATTTGAGAAACGCATCATTCGCTCAAGCGAGGCTTGAGCGAGTGAATTTCCGTGAGCTTTAACGTATTTTCACTCAAGCGAGAGTCAATCTCACTTTCACCCTCAAACACGCCCTCACATCCAACATATAAATATATAACTATATAAATATATCAAAATATATAAATATATTTGTATTTATATATTCTATATTTATATATTTACACGGATATATATTTATTTGTGTATAAATATAATTTATTTGTAAATTATTATCAAAAAATTATAGTAGTTTAGTGGTTGGAGTATCAATTTTCAACTCTAAAATACTATATTCGAATCCTACTAGTGACAATTCTCTAACTTAAGTGAATTTTTAATTGAAAAAAATAAAAACACTTTCCAGAAAATATATATAAATAAATATATATTTACACGGATATATATTTTTTTGTATATAAATATAATTTATTTGTAAGTTATTATCGGAAAATTATAGTAGTTTTGTGGTTAAAGTATCAACTTTCAATTCTAAAATACTCGGGTTCAAATCTTGTCAGTGACAATTCTCTAACTTAAGTGAATTTTTTGCTGAAAAAAATAAAAACACTTTCCAGAAAATATATATAAATAAATATATATTTACACGGATATATATTTATTTGTATATAAATATAATTAATTTGTAAGTTATTATTAGAAAATTACAGTAGTTTAATGGTTTGAGTATCAACTTTCAACTCTAAAATACTGATCAAATAAAGACTCGTCCACTTATGGAATTGTCCATGCCCAAACACTCCCTAGACCAGAGGTCCATTCCCATAGACCAGAGGTCCTGTCTTACCTATTCTACTCTCCCATTTACTATCAGAGATTCTGGTAGCTCGATTCTCAATAATTCATTCTCATACATTCTCTGTCTCATTTGACCGACCATTTTTCATAGTCATATTTCACTACCAAATGCTCTTGATAGTAAATTGACTCACAAAAATATTTTCAAAATTCTGTTTTGCATATCATTATTACTACCAACCGTCCTTGGTAACAATTTAAGAGAAATTTCCAAATACTTTTCTGTGAGTTCTAGAAAATATTTCATGCACTATGTTTATGCCTTGTATGAAATGAAACAGTCTATCATCAATTAAGTACTTAGAAACATCTCATTCATATATTCAAAATTTCAATTGAAATTCATAGTTGATTCAAACAAAACAATTTCTATTAATACTCTATTTCGTAGGGTTCAGTGTTTTATACATATATCGAGTTCTAGACCTCCTTTTAATATGAATCTAATTGTGTTGGAAAGACAAGACAATAACCTACAACTTTGATGAATGCACTATCCTCAAATTCGAATGTTTACTAAGTCATTTTCTTAGTAAACAAAGAAGAATATTGTTTGGCTCTATCTCGATTATATCCTTAATCTTTTTCAAATTTTCATTTATGTCCCTAGGTTGTAAAATGATCATTTTACCCTTGAACATTTTCTATAATTTCATTCATGTCCCTAAAATGACTATTTTACCCTTGTATATTTTCTATAATTCCATTCATGTCCTAGAGCCATGATGAAATGACCATTATACCCTTAATCTTTTTCAAAATTCTATTTATATCCCTAAGATGTGTAATGACTATTTTACCCTTAATCTTTTTATAAAATTCCCACCTAGTCCCTTTTTCCTGTAAGCCATTTTCAATTTCTCAGTTTAAAACACCCAAATTAGTTTTAAATCAAAATTAAACATGCAATATGTCCAAATTAAGTCAAAAATAATAATTTTACTATATAATTCATCCTTAATTTCAAGAATTTCATCAATATTTAAAACTTTGCAAAACATGAATAGTAATTCGCCATTTTCAAAATCCAGATTTCAAATTTCTCAGTTTTAATCACCCAAATTAGTTCTAAATCAAAATTAAATCATAAACATGTTCAGTTTAAGTTAAAAACAACAATTTTATTATATAATTCATCCTTAATTTGAAGAATTTCAACAAATATTTCAAACTTTCAATCAGTGAATCAATCATCAAATTCAGACATTTTGATAAAATTAAACATCTACCCCATACCTGATTTCTCCAAAATCTTATTACTCTCCTAATTTCTTTTGCTCATCTTTCCTCATTTCTCTCGAATTCTTCTTCTCAGAATTTTGGTGCCTCTCTGTTAGTTCTTCAAGTTGCGGGAATTGTGTTTTGGTGTAAGTAAATTTCAAATTTCTTCCTATTTATACACTTATCTTACTCGACTTATACTCCTTCTCAAATTTTCTTTAATTTTATTCTCCACCGACTCAATTCAAAGGTTCCACCGACTTATCCAAAACTACGGTTCTCGACTTCTATTTCTCTCTTTTTGTGGTTTTTTTTTTTACTTATAGTATTAAATTCCTAAATGTTTATTTATTCATTTATTTAATTTAATTATTAAGAATTATAATAAATTATTATTTATCACAATATTAACCTTGAACTTTATTTTAAAATTTTCAAAAATCATGTTTACGTACATATTTATGACTTACAAAATTTATTTATATAATTAGTTGAAAAATTTAGGATGTTACAAGTATCTACGGACTAAAATCATAATTTATTAAAGTTAAGAGATTAAAATGATTCTACTTTTTAATTTGGAGGACTAATACAAGATTTACTCTAAATTTTGAAAATTAAAATCATAATTAAACCTTAATTGTTATTCATCTATTTAAATAATAAAATTACTTTTTATTTATGTTGTGATGAGTTGAAGGAGAAGAAGATGAAAACATGGAGATAATATATATCAAATTATATCAACACAAGATTAAAATGTTATTAGAAATATTTATCTCTGATTGTTTAGTTCGTACGAAGTTTGAATTATTATTAGTATTGACTATTTAGTAAACAATTTTAATTTGATATGTCTTATTGTAGTATATTTTAATTTTACAAATGAAAAAAATGTTGTTTTTTTAAAAAAACTTAATGGATGAGTAAAGCGATATATTTATCCACGAGCCTTGCGGGAATATGTAAAACTTTAAAATAAAATTTATTTATTTTTCCAGACTAAATTTATATAGCCTGACAAGTGGACATTGAACAGACCAATTTGTATACTTATTCTTAATTAAGAGTCACATGATGTATATCTATATAATCAATTATATGAGTTATTTTTTACCAAATGTCAACATATTTAGTGAAACAATAATTATGGTTTTTCATAATAATCGTGTATACATGCATTTTAAATGCAAAACCACTAATCTTTGATTCCAAACGAGGTAGTTTTAGATTTGCAAGTAACCAATTACATAGAAAAAAATGAACTATCATCTTTTTCATTTCTTTCAAATCAATCATATATACTTATAAATTTGTAAATCCTAAACTTTTTACTTATGTATGCTCTTTTTCCACTATCTTTCCCATTTTCTATGATCCAAACAATGTATAACTGTTACATTCAGTTCAACTTATCAAAGATATTGGTTTAAAGGGAAATCAAAACCATAACACTCTAAAACTTCCCGAACTTATATTGGAGAAAAGATATTATAAGAATCATAACTAGACAAATTATAGTTTTTTTTTTTTAACAACACGTTTATTTAATCAACATATCGAAAATATTTATAAGTGCAGGAAATTTACCTTAATTTTTACCGTATCAGCACAATCATATGCACCTCCTAACAACCATTTGAACTTTTATTCGATTAAGGCAATTATCATGTGGTAGTGCTTCTTTCATCCCATGCTTTCTACCCATACACATCTTCATTAAATGTTATAAGTTTTATTTGATTGTAAGGTAAAATAAGTTTCAATATAATCTTTTCAAAATCTTTATGGAATATGTAATTCTAGAATAGATCATGGAATAAACAATTATGAACAAAAAATGTTTGAAATTATTCTACATGAAACAGTTTTTTTTTCTTTTTCTTTTTTAAGACCACGAAGACATATGTCTTGGGATCATGAAAATAACTTTTTATTGGAAAAGGTTGTCACCGTGTATTATATATATATATATATATATATATATATATATATATATATATATATATATATATATATATATATATATATCAAATTGATTTATCAGAACTTAATATTATATATTCTAATTTACTTAATTCACAACTAAAAAAATATTATATTTGAGAGAACAGTTTTTTTTTTTTTGCTTTGAATTGTTGATTCAAAAATTCATTTTCATGATACACATTCTGTAAATATTCCAATAAGAATATTTCAAAACCAATTTCACCTCGTAACTAAATAAAACTCAAGGGAATGCAGAAAATAAGTGCTTTAACACTTTCAAAGTGGTATATTTGGCATAATTACACTGAGAATGTTATTTTGCGCGTGAAAAACTAGGAGTTTTCAATTTACGGCACTTGAAGAGGACACACAAATTGGTAATACCACTATAGATTTCTCGAATTGTGTACATGTAGATGCCTCCATATCCATGGCTGAAGATGCGACGGAAAAGATTGGGGGATGTGCAAAACTTAATTCATTCACTAAATCATATCTATTTCAACTTAACATTACAATTAAGAAGACAAACCAAGAATTTGAATATCAACATCGACTGCTACAAAACTTGTTAAATGACCAACCACGGTTGCACAATGCTCAGAAATGATACATTTACCTTGTATATCTACCTCCACCGACAAATCAAAGGCCTGAAAAAAAGAGTGAAAATGGAATTTAGACTTTGTATGACAGCTAAAAAACGATAGTGTATATTACTCTCGTCACAACAAAATATTAGAAAAAAACTAACGAAAAGTCTACTAGCCTACCATACTGGCCAGTTGGACTTCACAAAAACAACATTAACATAGTCACCTTCTTACCTACCTGCAAGAAAATATTAAGAGGTTCCCTATGCATATCCTATAATTTTCATCATAATTTTTATGAGTTATCATTCAAGCATGTCCAGATAACAAAACTTGCAAGGAACGTTAAATTAAAATTTGGCATACTATTCTTATAAAAATGATTATAAGTTTAAGTATGTTTTTAATCCTTATAAAATGAGTGATTTGTTATTTAGGCTCCTACTTTTTTTTTCTTGTTTTGATCCTCTAGTGTCTATGATAGAAAGTTAGCATGTGACACTTCTATTAAAATTTTAAGATACGTCAAATAAATACTATTTATTTATCTTAAAACGTTTTCAAATTTTGAAGAGATGAAAATCAATTCACTTATTTTATAAGGATTAAAAATAGTATTTCAAATTTTACACAGATGGAAAATAAATAAAATTTTTATCGAGACTAAAATAAAAACTCGCTTATTTTACAAATTAAAATATATGTAAGCCCAAGATTACATTTATCATTGCAACAGAGATGAACCATTAACCTCAAAGTGAAATAATATAAATTCAGACATGGCACAGAACCCCTGTATAAGGATGGTAATGAGATTTGAACCAATGTCCTCATCTAAATCACCCAAACCCCTCACTACTAGCCCGATCCTAATGGCTTCCTATTTGATCAATATAACAAGAATTCTCGTGTAAGCTATGAACAAAATGTAGCAATAATATTACCTCAATTTAGTGTTACACGAAAATGCAGAGTGAAGGTTTAAATCACCCCCAAATCATCCACAATATGTTAGCCTTCCCACGGAAGCAATTGAGTTGCTACTTTACAATACAGTTTACTGAACAGCATCATTTCCAAATCTTTTCACCAAAAATTCATCAAGCTGACCCCAGTTTGGGGTATCAGATTTACTCAAATCACCCAATGGCAATGAGCGTATGCATTGAAGAATATGTTTAACATCCCGATATAACCTAGCAAGTGAGGAGAATTTAAGAACAAAAAACAAAATTATTTAAGTTTTTTTAAGTTGCTTAGAAAAATAGTTATACATAAAATAAAACTTCAGAAAAGTAAATACCTATTCTGAGCTTGAGGAGTGCTTATATCAAATTTTGAAAATGCTTCTGAAATTTGTGAGTGAAATATAATAACCACTTGCCTGAAAAATAGCAAACTTGAGAAGCGAGTATCGGAAATCAAATGATGTGAGCATATTTGACAATCGTTTTTCTTTCTATGCAGAGAGTACTGTTTCCTTCTTTTTATATGGGAAAATAAGAAATTTCATTTTACAATTCATAACAGAAAATAATGGAGATCTAGGATATACATCACTGTCTTCTTTCCCTCCAAACTCCATCCAAAAATACCTAAATGATTATTATTACATTAGTAGTAAATTAGTATCATCCATTTCATCATCTTCAGATACAAAAATTTCAACCATGGAAAAGAAAAGAGTACTTCATTAAAGACCACAAATAACAGTGAATAACAAACATGGACAGCAACATATCTCCACTCTTAAAAAAACAGTTACATGGAGGAAAACTAATTTTAAATTCAAAGCTACTGGTACATTTTTTTGGAACCAGATTTCTTATCAACTAATTATAGATAAGGCCTTGCAGAGAGAAAATAATCAGGCACCTTAAGTACAAAGGAATCAATATATTAGAATTAGTGGCCCTACTCAATTCTAAAAACTAGCTTAAGAGAAAATAATCAGGCACCTTATGTACAAAGGAATCAATATATTAGAATTAGTGGCCCAACTCAATTCTAAAAACTAGCTTAATGGATGAGGATTGTCCAAGACAGTATAAGGAGTACTTTGACCAGATATGATCTTCCATCAACGTACAAAAATAAAAGAAATGGAGATTTATGTGATTCTTACCTGAAAATTGCTTGAACATCTTCCTCATTCAAAGTTCGAGATAGAACACGTTGGAGGTACCCAACTTCCTAATGACAAATTCCAAAAATAGATAAGTTCTACTTATGAGATTGCTTTAGAGAAAGGTGAGGCACAAGAGAGGAACTCAAAAAACTGATAATTCCATAGCACCCCATACCATTATCAACATATATATAATGACCAGTCACGAATTTTCTTACCTACAAGTGTTTAAGTTATTAAATCAGTTTGACAAATGTGTTTATAATTGTACATCTGTGAGGGGTTTATCTCAAATTTGATTGTGAAACAATCACCCTACTATTTATGATAAGATAAACCTAGTGAAGTGACTAGTGAGCCAGCATACAAAAATTACGAAATAGGAAGATGCATATTAAAAGTTATCTTTGCCCTTTGGGATGTTCTTATTTATGCTTTAAACTACAAAATAGGAAGATGCATATAAAAATCTTGGTCAACTTTAAAATTCAAGCAAAGAAAAAAAGGTCAGAGACACAACACAAAAATTCTAAGTATTTATATATAATTATTTACCTTTGTCAGGGACCGGGCAAATTGACTTGGCTGAGGGTCTTCATCCTCAGGTCTATTCCAACTCTCAACAATTTGAGGCAACCCACGTAAATGTACTAGTAATCTTTCTCGCATTATTTGGACTAATTTACTGTGTATTTCATCTCTATGAACTTTATAATCCTGAAATGAAAAAAAAAAAAAAAAAATACAATAGTAATGCAAATGTTATAAAAAATACATTCTCAAAAGTTCTTAAAAAGTTGGGAAAAAAATGAATCATTTTTTTTTAAAAAGTTATACATATATCAACTGTATTTTATTGGAGAAAAAGTACAAAAAAAAAATGGGGACAAACAACAGTATTCTCCTAAACAGATAAATAAAAAAGAACAGGAAGCCTGGGGAATAGCCAACAAAACCAGATCCTAGAAAGCAAAGGTTTTCTAAATATGTTTGAACACTAAAGAAAGAACTAACCAAATTTATTCTTGAAATTTCACTTAAAATGGCTCCATCCCATGTAGTTATAGACTAGAAAGATGAATGTTGCACTTCTAACAGACACCTTATACATTTGAAACAAATGTGCAGGGAGGAGTAAGGGAAGAAAAGGATTTAAGGAAAATTCAAAATCAGGGACCAACAACAACAACATTTGGTACAAATGGCAGAAAGTGAAACTAAAGTCATCACAATTAACAGAAGACACTTGAAACCGGTGTTTTCAACTAGGGAACCTGAACCTTGTTTTCAACCCTTCAAAAAATGGATGTTCACAATACAGAACCAGACAATATTCCAATAAAAAACCAAACACACTATGCAACTATAATATTGTTCAAGTCGAATCCTCTATATTACAGCTTCCCTTGCTCTCTAAAAATATTTCTTTCACCCTTCAAATGGTAAAAAAAGGGTATAAGAGGAAAAGCAATAAAATGTTAAACCTCTTTCCATTTATTCAACTACAAGTAAAACACTACAATCATTAAAAATCCAACATATGAACAAAACATCTGAATAGGTTTCCCTCTAACAAAGGAATAAAGGTTAAACAACAATGAAGCACAAACCTGAGCTACCCGATCAATCTCAGAAAGCAACAGTATTTTTCTTGCCTCAGGTACCTTAAGAAAAAGAGTCTGCCGAATCTCTTATACCAGAAATGAAGAACAAAGTTATAAAATTAATTCAAACAATGAAGAAAAATATAATAAATTCATGAAACACATTAAAAACTTCATTGAGTTGAGTCTATTTATACCAGGAATAATAGCATGTACAAAACTGATGACTTGACTTGCCAATGCTAGGTGTTTAGATGTGATGGACTTCAAACCAGACACCTGCACCCGAACTTAGGGAGATTAGAAGACACTAGAATGAGAAAGTTACACGTAGTGCTAACAAGTTACAAGTCTATATTGTGGTGTCTAGTAAGGCCCATTACCCAATTTCTATCTTAGATTCATTATTAGGTCACATGTATGGCCACACTCTAGGTTCACAGCCTAGGGCATGAAGAGTAGTGTTGAAAATTCTCCTTAATTTCAGTCATCCTTGAGACACAATCTCAAAAGGGCTACCTATACCTAGATAGATTAAGTGTCAAAGTGTGGAGTCATTGAGACATCAACTCGTAGTGGGTAATCCTCACCTTACAAGCTGTTTTTGAGGTTGAATTAGACCTTAAACCAATTTGCATAAGGAGGGATCTTGATACAAGTATAAACTTGTAAATAGTGAACAAAAGAGGTAATGTACAGTTGTTATCTCATTATAATTTCATTTTCATTTTAAAGTTAGTTAGTGCGTCTGTTATTCTGTTAGTTGCTTAGCTCAGCAATTAATCATACAACCTTCCTATATAAGGTTCTCATGACTCTCTTCCTCAACCTATGTTTGAGTGGAATAATAGACATATTGTACATTTGTATTTGTTATCTCATTGAAATGTCGTGTATCTATTATTTACTCAGTAATGAGTCATACAACCTTCCTGTTGGAAAAATAATAAAACATTAAATAATCTTGTTTCCAACACTCCCCCTCAAAATAGATGTTTGCCATCCTATCATGCACATTATTCTTTCAAAATCTGGACTGTACTATCCTTTAGTAAGAATATATGCAAGTTGATCTCATGAAGATACATATGGAGTACAAATCAAACCATTGTCCAGCTGATGAAAATCTGGACTGTACAATCCTTTAGTAAGAATATATGTCAATTGCTGATTTATTATCACAATAGATTTTCACAGGTCCATCCCATTTAATTTTCAAGTCTTTCAAGACCAATTTTAGTGAAAGCAACTCATAAATACCTTGTGCCATAGCTTGGAATTCAACTTCAACACTAGATCAAGCTACAAAATTTTGTATTTTACTTCTCCAGTCAACAAGTTTCCTCCAAGAAAGATATGATATCCAAAACTGGATGTCTTGTCAGTTATTGAGTCTACATAGTCAGAGTCAATGTAAGATTAAATTGTATTCCCGTTTCTCTTATAAAATTCCTCTACCTGTTATTCCTTTAAGGTGTTGCAAAATTCTATAAGTAACTTGTAAGTGGACTTCTCTAGGACAATGCATAAATTGGCAAAACAAATTAGCAGAAAATATAATATTTGGCCTTTTCTAGAAAAGTGAATCAATTTTCCGACTTGACATTGATTCATCTCCTTGTACACTATTACACTATGATCTGCATTACCCAATTTAAGATTCAAATCCATAGGAGTATTTGTAGGTGTACAAGTTAGCATATCTATCACACCTTCAGCAAATCTGCGACATATTCTTGTGGAGATATAAAAAACTTTCTTGGAGTGGAATGCTTCAATTCCCAAAAAATATTTCATCCTCCTAAGAGTTTTTATCTCAACTCCTTTGCTAAATGTTGATGCCAGAGTTTTTATCTCAAACTCCTTCCAATCATCATCAATATCATCCACATACACTAACAACCCAGTCACTCCCCTTGAGGTTGAGTGTTTGATAAATAAACTGTGGTCCCTTGGCTTTGTTTGTATACTAATATTTCATAACCATAGTGAATCCCCCAAACCCCCAAAACTATGCTTAGGGGGATTGTTTCAAGCCATATAAAAGCCTTTTTTAACCTACAATCATTTCCCGGAGGAATCATGGGTTTGAGTGAAACCATTAGCAACCAATCTTGCCTTGTACCTATAAATTAAATAATTTTCCTTGTATGTTACAGTATATACCCACTTACAAATCAACAATTTGGCTTCTCCCCTTCTGACAAAAAATAAAAAATTCATCTCCCATGTTTTGTTTCTCTCTAAACTCTCCATTTGGTATCCATGGCCTACTTCCAATTTTTATAAGATAATACCTCAAAAACATTAGTAGGAATTGGGGGAGAGTTTAGGTTTATATGTAAGGTTAAATGGGAGCGAAGAAATTCTTGAGACGAGAGGCAATTTGAGAGAGCATTTAACGTTTTATTATTTTTCCAAGTAGTTGATTATTTAGCAGGGTTCAATGTACCTTAGGAAGTTGTGATAGTTTAATTGTTTTCTTGAAAAATGCAGTAGCTATTTATTACCTTTATAACAATTCTTATCATAAATAGATCAATCAGCTGGATGAAGAATCACTCAAGCATATTCAGAAATATGCAGTCTTTGTTTCTCTGCTAAAACTTTGTTTCTCCCTTTCCAGACTTCCTATATAAGGTATCACACTACTAATTTTTCTAATGATAATATATTTCAGAGTGTCTTTCATTTCCATGTTTTTTTCATTTCTATTAATAGAAATGAGTATGTAAAATGATTTAGGCATGTAAAATGACAAACCATAGTCTGACACATGGCATCATAACAGTCACCTCTTCATGGAGGGTTAGGCGGCCAAGAGGGATGCCACAAAGGATATGGTGAAAGAGTAGAAAGATTTGGAATTTTGAATTACATTAAGTTTCAAGAATTAGGATACAGGATCGAGTACAATGAACCTAGAATCCATGTAGATGACTGTATTTGGTGAGAATAAGGCTTGGTTAGTATTGTTGATTGTTGTATTTTTGTGCCTATACAGTGTATAGTTTATAGCAAGACATGTGAAAAAATTATAAGACCTGGCTAAAAGACCAGTGGTGTTTTATGGTACTGAATGTTGTTGAACAAAGAAGTGCCAACAAGAGCAAAAAGTGCATAAAAATTGGAAATATTGACGCAGAAAACAGGCATAAGATAGAGGCTTCAGCAAAACAAGAAGGTTAATCAAATGGAAGAAAGTCGAATTAAAAAATGCATAGGAAGACCTAAAAAGATAAGGAGATATTATAAAAGACATTGCTCCATATATATAGGTTGATGGTCGATTGGTATGTGAAAGACTTGACAGACATATATATAGAAGGTAACAACAGTTTTGAGAACAGTACTGACAGTACCTGCATAGCACCAGCCCCCAGCACAAGTTGGCAAGTTCTTGTGTTGAAAAACTTCAAGATTTCTACTACACGGTGAACAACTTCTGAAGATAGTGTTGGCAAAAGGTTGTTCATATCAATGTACTCTGACAACATCTTCAGCAATATTAAGCCACTAGAAGCAAACATGACAGACAGAACCACTTTATATTATTTACAAGATGGCAGCCAAAACAAAAATAGGATAAAAAAAAATCATAAAAAACAAATGAAACTCACAAATCTGCAACTTCAAATCATAAAAGAATAACAGATAGCAGTTATACTGTAATGTTGTAATAAAATAATCAAGCATACCTACACAAACATATATATATATATATATATATATATATATATATATAGAGAGAGAGAGAGAGAGAGAGAGAGAGAGAACACTGAAAAACAGTAAGCAAAAGAAACAGACCGTGCAACTAATTGGGAAAAGAGAGAAGTTGAATCCAGATAACTAACCAGTTTACCATGTGATAACCAACACCTTTGTAATAAAGAGCCTGAGATGCAGACTTTTTATGCTCTTTCTCAGTATTGTTACTATGTGCTGATGTAATCCCACCGTGACCTTTGTTTGGTTCCATTGAATCATCCTGGGATTTGGATTTATCTGATGTTTCAATGGAATTAGCCATCATAATTTCTTGTTCAGCACTGGACTGTGCATTGTCTGCCATTTGCATAGAATCATTGTTAGTCACCACACCATTGTAACTGGTTGAATTATCATCCTCAGTGTCATTAAAGTTCTCAGAAGCCAAATTATCAGAAGTAAAAAGCATATTGATGATGAATTGAAATTCATCAGGAACGTCTATCTCCACCCAGGTTTCCTGATCAAGCACTGCCTTAATCTTTGACATCTGCATCCAAAGCAGTGGGATTAACAAAGATGTACAAAGATTTCAGGATGACAAATGCCATACAAAAAAGACAAAATTAACACTAACCCGAGATTCATGCTGAAAATCAATAAAAGCCTTAGCCTGTGATTGCAGTGTCCCTCGGATGCTGTAACCCAATCTCCCACCAATCTGTTAACGTAAGCATGAAAATTAAACCATGGAACAAAAGCTATATAATTTTTTGTGTAATGCTTTAAATCAATATGAAAATGTATACTCTTTCTGTAGCAGTAATGAACTCGTGGGTAATGTTGTATATGGTTAGAAACTCCTGTAATTTCAACCTAGGATGAAGAATTGCACGGACCCCAAGAAGCTTTGCCCATCTTCCATGAGCAGCATCACACGCTGCAAAGACTGCTTCTGCGTTTTCTCGCAATATATCAGCTCTGTTTAGAACCAGATTCTTTGAGAACATCAAACAAATGGGACAACTAAAAGACAAAGTTATTGCAGAAAAAAAAAATCTTTCAGCTGGGAGTTTTAGAGAGTGAATTCAAATGGTGTCCCCATTACACTCGTTTATAAAGAGAGGAAACCCTAAAAGTGTCATTTGTTACCAGCGTAAACAAATTCAGTACAACAGCAGAAGGGTCTAGCATGCGCACTGATTAAAAATTTGAGGTAATAAGAGATATTAATTTACATGGTAAAACAAATTACTCCATATTTATGTATCAACTAAGTTATAATCCCATTCCCAATTGTTAAAATAAATTAATATCAAGTGACCCTGAACCTTGTGTGTCATCTATAACAACTTTCACAAGTGAACAACAGTAGTGTACATTCTAAAAAATGTCATCCACAGTCTTTCATAAGAAACTGAAAATGTACTGTAAAAAAGTTAAGACACTATAGATAATTCTGACTAAAGCTGGGAAAGAGATTCTTCATATAATGATGCAACTAAGTGCAACAACCACAAGTAATAACCACTCAAATCTTAAGGAAGAACAAAGTAGATGCTAATACTAATATTACAGCACAAATGATTTTTGTTTCAATTTTCCCCTCATTTCATATTTGGTAGCAAATGACAGGATAGAAACTGTTAAAAGATATAAAACCATTTATGTGTATCCATCTAACAACTTCAGCTTTTGGGATTAATTGGGTCTTGACAAATAGTGTGTTATTAAGAAGTATTCCTAGATAATGGACTCTAGAAAGGAATTGTTCAAATCCTCTCAAAGGTGCATCAGATCATATCACATGTCATCATTCAATGAATAATCAAACTTAAAGGGGAAAACACAAGGGAAAAACAAAATTCTTTGCATCAAAAAATAAGAAAAATAAAAATTGTCATAAAAACACCAATATGTATCAATTTTAGAAATCTTCACTATACAGGCGCACTCATTAAAACAATACAGGACGCACAAGACAACAAGGTCTCTCAAGGCTTATATTCCCAACTGGATGTCAGGAAATTTGAAAATAGAAAATTAGCTCTGATCGCGCATTACTTGCTTACTAAATCTAAACACCAAAAAGAATCAGGAAAAAGTTTTCCAGTTTCTACTACAAGTATATCAGAAACAAGAACCTTGGTTTAACCTGAAATTTTTTGACATGTTGGAGGAGCTCACAGCATCAATTGATTTTCCCTGAAATGAAGAACCCTTGGCAACACTTCTTTGTGCCGAATATGGTAAAAATGTAGTACCATGAGACTCACTTTCTTGGGATGTTTCTGCAGCTGCAGCACCATGAGCAATAGCTGCCACAACTGAATCAGCAGCATAATGACCATCACGGTTGTTCAAAATCGATTCAATAGCCCTTTTCACTTCAGCAGCCCGCACTAAATGTGCCTGCAATCACTAAAAGGAAAACAATCTTATTACATCACTCTTAAAACAACTGAGTTGCAAAATATTGTATAACTGAAGTTCAGTAACCTGTATACGCCATTACATGCTTCTATAGCACACTACTGATAACTATGATTCCCAGTCAGTTTATTCATGTAGATCTCTATTTTTTTTTTGGTGTTCCTTCTTCACACTTCACAGCCCTTATTTTTTCTCTCTTTAATACTCCTTTGTTCATCTTCACAACCCTCCCTCACTTTACATCAACTAGTAATATGGTGAAATTAAACTAAGATTAAGTTAGTCAAAACCCAAATTCTAAGTATTTCCCTTTCCCTTATAGTCAACTCTTAACACTAATTGCATGCGTTTTTTTGGATGATATAGTTTTGATTATCAAATCAAGTGAATCAACTTACTACAGGGGTTATTTGAGACCATAAAGTACCTACAAATTCATAAAAAGATTTATTGTATTGCTATACATTCAGCTATACTCTACGACAGTACATGATGAGCTTTAAAGGGGGCAACAAGCGAAAAAGGTATTAAGTAGTAAAAGTGTGAATGTTTAGACAAGAGGAAAAGGTAAGAGCAGTAAAAATGATAATGTTCAGAACATGTGGCCACATAAGAAGGCAGGATACAAAATGATAGTATACAACGAAATATTGGTGAGGCACAATGGTCAAAAGATGACAAAAAATTGGTTAAGGTGGTTTGAACATCAACAAAGAAGGCACTAGTGAGGATAGTAGATTGCATGGTTTTTAGCTATGTGGAGAGAAAGAGAGAGAGAGAGAGAGAGAGAGAGAGAGAGAGGGAGGGAGGGAGACCAAGAAGGACACTGAAGGAATTGTTAAAAGGGATCTAATGGTGAATAATATACCTGGGAATCTGGTCTTTAACTGAATTCAATAGCATCGTGCAATCCATGTAGTAGACCTCACGCAATGAATACAAATTTTGTTGTTGTTTGCCTTTTGTTGGTAATTATTTGAGTGTTTGGCATAAGACTATAACTTTGGTTATTCATTTTGAATAATCTTATAATTTAGATATTTGTTTTATTTCTGACCGTTTATATATGTGTGGATAAATTGTTTAATTTGTATCCATAATCTTCAATATAGTAACCATCTGTTAGGTTCCTTTCTTCAGAAAAGAATTACTTCTTTCCAGGAGCCAAAGAATAAACCATTTGTGAGAGAAAAGATAGAAAGAAAGAACTATTTCAGTATTTAGTAACCAAAAGAATGTTCTCAAGTGTACCCAAAGGAGCACTATCCTTTCATACTTGATATCCCAGTGGATTATACAAAAATAAAAAAAATGAAAAGATACCCTCCACTAAGAGGGTTATTTTTACCCGCAACTAACTGCCAAAACCTACTAATCTCCCCCCTTATTCATTCTTCTAACATATACTGGTAAAGTCTGTTTGGTTTGCCTGGGTAGTTCAGTTTCCTGCCTTACAACATCCTACTATATGTCGTAGAGATTTTGTGGTCAGCATGGACCACTCCACACAATTATTTGGATTAATACTATGCTTGCATAGTTGCACTAAGTTCAATACATCTTTCACATTTATTCATCATATAATAAAAGTAATTTAACAACAAGAAAATGAAGGATAAGAAATCCTGGGACACTGCACAAACATATCATAAACCTACTAAGCACCAACTCCCATTCAAACACCGGACATGACACAAACCCCCAGGACACAGCTAGTGTCTATAGGACACCATGACAATGCACAACTGAGAATTGAATTAAGATTTATATATTCACCTTAAAAGAATACAGTTGTTAAACTTTACAATGACACAGCTAAAACAAATCCTGGGACATGCAAAATGAAGAATCATATCTCGAAAAACAATGAGTTGAGTCCAATGATAATGAGCCTCAAGTGTTGATTTTATATTAATTATTATAATATTTTAAATTATTTTAATTTTTCATATTTATAATAGAGAAAATTACAATGATACCCTCGGAACTTTTCAAATTACACTTACACCACTACAGTGGCCTTCCTTACCATGGTTTGTGTAGAATAAAAAACTGGGGTCTCAATTTAATTTGAGAAAACTTCAAAAGGCATTAGCTTAAAATTGACTTTTTAAATATTTTTAGTTATAATAGTAGGGGCGGAGAAGTATCTAGTTGAGAGTAAGTGTCAAGTCCATGTTTTGGACCGTGCCCAACCTTTGTCAAAGAAGTGTTGAAGCAGAAAAAAAAAATTATAATTCAGATACTGCAAAGGAGTATCCTACAAGAGTCTATGGAGTGTCAGCGTTCAAACAGTGTTGAGCAAGTGACACACTGTTAGGGAGCCGTGTCTGTGCTTCCTAGTCATGAACACACATCCTCTACATTATTAAAACTGAATACATTTAAAAGGACTGCAAGGTCTAGATGATGTTACAACGTAACAATTGCCAAGTATAAATTACCTGTACTATCAAGAAAATAGCACTTAGAAGATGAACAAAGCAGTCAGATGATAGACTCCTCAACTTGCTAGCAAGTGATGCGCCTCCACCTGAGTTGCTATTTAGCATTAGCAAGTTGAAAGTAGAACAGATCCCATAAAAACACAACAGAATAAAAGTATAACTTCTTATAGACAAACAGCACCAATTATATACCAAAGAAATTCTCACCATCTGCGTCAACAGTTCTGTCTCCAGAAAAGAACTCTGACTCTGAACCTCGAGAAGCAAGAATTGGAAGCAACTCAGCAACTGCGGTTTTAATAGCACTCTTCATATCAGCAGTCAGTGTATCTCGATAAGTCCTCAGAACAGAGGGAAGTTTAGCCTGAAAACAAGGTATTATTTAACCAAATTGGAAAATGGAATAATATGCAATGCATTAATATGGACACTGAACACATTGTTTTCTTTGTATACTGTCACTAAAACAAAAACATTCAATATGGCATATGTAATTTTTTCTGTTTCTTTTCTTTTATGCTTCTATCAGTTGCAAAATACTTGGTATTTACATATCTTGAAAGTATAAAGGACAACAACCTCAAAAATAGAAATCTCACTGCAGTGATCATAAAAAAGTTTCTTTCTCAATAAAAAAATAATACTCAAACTTTCCCCATAACTTGCTTAAACAATAAGTTTCTCAAGATAATTACAGCTAATTACTTACAGTTCTGAGCAATCCAATTACAGTAGGTAGAAGACTATCTTTGATATTATTGGTTTCCTCTTCTTCCAACTTTACCTGGTTATGTAACACGGGATTAGATCACAAACTCCATCCTCAAATTTCATAACCATAAACTTCACATTGTGAGACTTTCAGCTACTCAATCATTGGACTAATGCCAAAACAGTGTACTTTATTAAATGTTGTGCAGTGTGTAAAAATTAAGGCATGAAAAATCAACAAGAGTTTTTCTTTTAGTAGAAGATGAGCAAAAGAATATCAGTATACAAGGCTGCAATCCGAACTGGGTCAGTACCCCAGCCTGTCTCAATCATCTGCAACACACCTAAATACCATTAAGGAAAAAAAAAAAAAAAAAAAAACTAAGTAAGCTTCATTGACCCTTCTATCATTACTTGATTCTATTACTCATCTATGTTCCAGCACATATGAATTTGGATTTTCTATTCTTCATGTGTGTTCTCCACAAAAGTCTTCTTTAGATGCTGACATTCTAAATTAAATAATCACCCTCCCAAAATTAAACAATTCCATCGCCCCCTGAGAAACCCGCCCTTCGAAAAACAGGTCTTTCATTAGACAGAGATCCTTCATAAGATTAACAAATATATTAAAATGTTAAAATTCATATATCATACACAGCTTTTCACAGGACATGTGTTACATGCAGATTAACACTTGAACCTGTAGAATAGGAAAATAATGTACTTTGTTCAAGAACTCTAAACCCAGTTCAGCCCCAGAGTGGCAACAGAACTAGGATAGGAATAAATGCTGAATACAGAAATGGCCTTTGGAGTTTAGCGAGGCCCAGTATCTCTTGTGCTTGATGTCACAAATTTGAGATCCCCTTAACCTCGCTCTACCTTCCTTCTATTTTAACAATCATACCAAAATAACCAACTTCCTCGCATTTTATCATACAGCTGAAATCAGTAATGTTGAATTCAGAGGGTTTAATCCACTGAATATATCATCTCCCATAGTCCCTCACAATAGATGCCAATATCATTCATGTGGTTTTTGATCAACCCAAGATGTGTCCTTCCCCTTGTAGATTATATTAAGGGATAAATAAATTGTATTAAGAAGTGTAGAGGTTATGATATGCTTTTGGTAAATTAGCAATGAGGAGGCTATGATAACATTGCAGATTAATTGAGTGTGCAGTTTTAGCAGTCTGTTCATGTATGACAGGAGAGTAATGCTAACATTTTCCAGGGTGTCTATTTTCCCTTTCATTTGTCAAATGATGTTTTTATGGCCCCTGATCCTTACTAGCGGAATTTCTATTATTTACTGATATGCAAAGAGATTGTGAGTTTTGTTGCACTCTTGAGCCATTTCAAATTTCATTTTACACCTTTCTTGTTTCCGTTTTCATTTGGGCTTTCTTAACCTCATCCCAAATGTGTATATATCTCCCTCCAGATAAACATTAAACCTCTTGTGTAGAAAAATGAGATAAAACAGCATCTTAAAAGACAATACATTAAGCAGGTTGTTTATGAAGCTTACTTCTTCAAATTATATACAACTATAGAATGAACGTTCACTTTTTTCTGTAGTGAAGTTTAAGATATACATGTACACATGAACTCCATCAGAAAACGTAAGTAGAACCTATTGACCCAAGCGTCAATAAAGCACAACTCGTTTTGCTATGTCTTGACCCCATTAAAGCAAGAGAATCCACCATACGGATCAGGACCCATTCAAAAAAGCAACGGTGAAGATTTGAATATAAAATTAAAGAAAGAGAATTAAAGATAATAGAATCTTACTTCATCATCCTTGCCATTCATTGGAAGGGAGGCTCTTGCTTTAGCTTTGGATAAAATTATCCCATCTTTTTCTGAAGCATCTTGTAAGGAAGCTCGAATGAACTCTGCTGAAAGTATGCTACCAAAATAATACAATACATTACTAAATCTCCAATACAAAGTATAACTTTAGCCTTTTCTTTCACAAATTTAAAATTCAATTGTAGCACTACATCATAACCAAAAGTCAAAATGTCAAAGTTCAGAATACCAATGGACAAAGAAACATGTTTAAAATACAAAGAATTTTTTTGTTTTTAATAAGAATGAAATTAGTTCCCAAACATAACTGTTGAAATCATGATTCGCCTAAAACTATTTGATATGATTTCTGACACAATGATATATTTAAGAGCCAATCACACAGTGGCCAGAGAGCTGCTCAAATTGGCAGGATTATAAGATTCAGTATGGAAATCGAGTGTCATGGACCAAGGTGTCTACTGATGATAAAAATGCTACCCAAAGCTGAAGCTGAGTTTTTTGTAGAGAAATAAATAATAATACATCGGCAAAAAAGCACTGTTCTGCCTTAGTGAGGGAAGAATAAGCTATTTTATTTGTCTATTTCTTCGTATCTGTCCTTCGCCATTGAATGTGACGATGAATAGAATAAGGATATAGAACAAAAGATTAAACTTTGGAATTTGAACTAGAAATAGCTTAAATTGCTACTGGCTAGTCATATTTAATTTATGGTACAATTTTGTTCCACAGACGTATGGTTACAATGTTTTGTGATCAATTCCTGATTTAAAATTATTACTATCAGGATTCTGTATGGAATCAAATACAACTAGACATCACCTGCATGTATTTCAAGCTAATTTTCACTGTGTCTAAATTTTATAATTCAATAGGTAAATATTATTTCAACCCATCTAAGGAATTAGCTGACTGCATACAGCCTTTTCAGCAACTAAGATTAAAAAGACAAAGGATCTATTCACACTTATACATTATATAACCGTATTCTATTCCAATCAAGAAAGTAGAAAGCAATGTTTACTGAATTTTCAGATGCAATCAGGACATCATAAAAGGTGTACCTGTTTATGGATTCAATAAATCCTATTACATGATCTCGAAGATGCCGAAAGCAATGTAGACCACTGAGCTCATCTCCATCCTGCCAAAGTTACAGGATATGAACAAAGTTATATTAGAACAGAATTTTCTCTTCACCAATCAGGAATCCCATCATGGTATGTCAAACAGTCTACAATTAAAAACTATCTAAGTACAACACAATGACAGATATCAGCTAAGCATTAATCTCTAGTCTCATCAACCAAAGTTCAAAACAGTACACATCCCCAAGACCATCATTTACAAGTAAACAAATCTACATGAAACCATAAAATGATTAAAGGGATACCAGTAAATGTTGCAAATCATCAGTCACATCCAGCGCTCCAGCACAATCTGCAGATGCAACAAGCTGTATCACAGCAAAACCACATCAACTTAAAAGCCTCAAAAGTAGCAATACTCAAACATAACCAACATGACAAAGGAAAGGCCAAAAACTAAACAAATAAATGCCCAACACTGAATCAATAAGGATTGCTAAACAGAAAAAGAAATTCAGAATATATTCATTAATGAGGGGAGAGGAATAATATGTTATAGAATTTGCCCTTAGATTGTGTTTATGCTGAGTTGGCAATTTATTAGATTGGTTAG